GGGAGCCTAGGCGGTTTGGATGCTCACCTTACTAGACCTGGATGGAGGTGGGTGGTCCTTGGACTTCCCACAGGGCTGGGAACCCTGATTGCTCTTTGGGCTGACGAGGGAAGGGACAGGGACTTGATTGGGGGAGGGGGAGGGAAATGGGAGGCATGGCGCGGAGGAGGCAGAAATCTTTAATTAATAAAAAAAAAAAAAAGAAAAAGCGACCCTAAATTTGAGAGAGGGAATATATGGGATGGGTGTAATAAAGAGAATGGAGTAAATGATGTAATTATATCTTAATTTAAACAAATTTAACAAATAAATTATATATACACATCACTAACAAATGATGTCCTTAAACTTCCATTTAGCTTTTTATTGTAATGATCTGATAATACTGTAAATGTGATTATAATTTATTAAATAGTTCACTTTTCTTAAATAAAATGAAAACACTTCACCTTCAGTTGCTGAGGTTTGGCTTTGTCTCATGCCCTTGGGGTTGAATGGAATTCTTCCTTGAATTAAAATAATGTAAACATATTTTTATTGCTTAGAAACAGCTCTTAGAAGAAACTACAGGTCCCTAGCACCAGCTTCTTCAACATTGCTATTTTCTCTGAGTGGAGAGAGCACATTTAACTATGCTACTAAAACCACAGCAGTGGCTGTTAAACTTCATGGCCCTAAAAAAAGAATGTAACCTCTGAGACCTGTTTTAAACAACTACCAACATGGCATTAGAAATTTAAAAGGTAAAACACATGCCCTTATCCTTTTAAAACACTGATCAGGAATCATCAACCTTGATGTTAAAATATGCATGTCTGACTTTATTCTCAAGTGAGATACTGTCACCTTGTAAGAATATTCTAATCTTGTTTTGTTTCTAACTTGACTGAAAAAATAACTCCATAACTCCTAAGTATTCAGCTTCCTTAGTTTCCTTTTTTTCTATTTCTTTCTCCCACAATTCATTCCTTCTTTCTTTTGTCCTCTTTTCCTATCCTCTCCTTCCTTCTTCCTATACCTGCTCCATTTCCTCTGTCAAAAAGCAGGCATAATATGGAGAGAATAACACTGATCGTGGTAGAAAATTATAGTTTGGAGTCATGACTCTATTGATGAGCTGTGTGACCTCAGCAAATCAGTGTCCTTGACATCTAAATCAACAATTTTAAACCTGTGGGTTGTGATGCCTTTGACAAACCTCTATCAACAAAAATATTTAATTATGATTCATAACAGTAGTAAAATTACAGTTATGAAGTAGCACTGAAATAATTTTATGGTTGGGGGTCACTACAACATAAGCAAGTTGTATTTAAGGGTCACGGCATTGGGAAGATTGAGAAACACTGATCTAAAGGAAGAGTAATAACTTCTACAATCGCAGGAAAAATAAGCAAAGCAAAATGATACAAATATATGAAAATGTCACAATGAAACACATCACCTCGTACTTTATCACTGCTGACTGTTCACAGCCTTATGAGGTAGTATCCAGGTACACTATAGTTCAAATACATCAAACAAAGATAATAAGGGTGAGACAGTATTTGGAGTTTTGTAAACTTAGAAGTAGTACTAATGGCTATACTCTCTGGCCTCTTCAACTTATCAAGGGTAGATCAATAAAAAATACATTCTGCCGTCAAAAGTAAATTTAAACAGGTTAAATAAGTCACATGAAGTTTGCTACTTTGGGAGAGAAAACAAATAAATGCTCCTTTAATATGATAGCTCTCAGGCAGGTAGTTGTTTTGTTGTTGATATATTCTAAAAAAAGAGGCAACTGAGAAGTTAGGAAAATTTTTACTTATTACACCATATTTCTGGGAATTAAAAAAAAATCTAAATTTATGGGGCTAGAGAGAAAGCTCAATAGTTGGATGTACTTATTGTTTTTGCAGAAGACCAATGTTCCATTCACTACACCCACATAGTGGGCCACAACCACCTATAAATCCAGTTTCACAGGATCCGACACCCTTCTCTGACACATAGAGGCACTCAGATGGTACACATACATGCACACACGTACACATAAAAATATTCAAAAATTCAAACCTAGACTTACTCAAGAAAACCAAACTCTACTATTCCAATAGCTTCCAAAATGTACACTAAACCACCCATCTATAATATTCACTGAGACAGATTCCCAGACCACTGCTTGGAATATGCATTTATATAAATATGCTACCACAATGGCTCCCTAGGACTGGCTCTGACAACCTGCACCTTCTAGTCTATACAGCTAGTACCTACGCAAAAAAATCATGCTTATTTATTGTTTTTATCTGGCTATTGTTTTTATTTGGCTATAAACCAAAGTAGTAAACTAAGATTTTCCAATTATATAATTCATATCTGAAAGGTAAATACATTATTTAGGAATATCTTAATATAATGGCATTCTTGACAAATTTAAAAGCCAAATATGCCTTCCTGAACCACAGAATTTGACTCTCATTTTTTAAACTGTAAAAGACTAAGGAAAAAAAGTAGTATTAATAATTAAGTCAAGATAATTTTCAATAACTGGAATCATCTTAAACTACAGGGAGAAGTCAAACTATTGCCACCATGTCATATCGCTATATTACTACCATATCTTTATATTTTACACACCAATACTATAGCCGTAGTAGAAAACGGTCAGCATACTGGGTTTATCCCGCTTAATTGGAAGAGAACTACTTAAGAAGTATTAAGTGCTACTTTTGTTATGTACAAAGTAAATCCAAAAATGGATGCAGAAGTTAACACTAGTAGAAACACCAACTAGGGGACCACCTGTATTACAATCCCAGCAAATGCTACTATATCCCATTTGTAACTGTCACCTTAAACAAATTATTTCCCCCTTATCTGAGTCTAGATATTCATCATCTGTAAAAAATCATAGTAATATATACTACATATATATCAAACAAAGTACCAAACACACCTGAAGGTATCCTATAAAAGCTGTAAAATAGTATATGCATAAAAAATAAACAGAAAGGCATGTAACACAAAACATATCATCCAGCAGAAGCTGTAGTAGATTATTACTTTCAGATGTTTTATTACTCTTAAAATGGTATGTTTATGTATATACACACGAAGGTGTGTGCACTTGTGCACATGTCCAGAGGTCAAAAGAAGGCTCTAGGTCTCATGTTCTCCCTCTCCCCACCATAGTCCCTTGAGATATAATCTCCACTGGGTAGGCTAGCTTGTCAGCAAGCTCCTAGCATTCCTCTGTCTCCACCTTCTTGTTAGAGTATGTAAAGGCATGCCAGATTATATTATATTATTTATTTATTTATTTAATTGAGAAAAGGAAAAAAAAAGTTTCCCCCTCCTCCCAGCCTCCCATTTCCCTCCCCCTCCTCCCACCCTTCTCCCCCTCCCCCCACTCCTCTCCCCCTCCCTCTCCAGTCCAAAGAGCAGTCAGGGTTCCCTGCCCTGTGGAAAATCCAAGGTCCTCCCCGCTCCGTCCATGTCTAGGAAGGTGAACATCCAAAAATTTTGCATGCAAATGGATGGAAATAGAAAACACTATCCTGAGTGAGGTAACCCAGACCCAAAAAGATGAACACGGGATGTACTCACTCATAATTGGTTTCTAGCCATAAATAAGGGTCACGGAGTCTACAATTGGTGAACCTAAAGAAGCTAAATAAGGTGAACCCAAGGAAAAACATATAGTTATCCTCTTGCCTACGGGAAGTAGACAAAATTGCTGGGGAGGAAAGTGGGATCTTGGGGGTGGGGTAGGTTGGGGGTAAGGGGAGATGGGGAGAGAAAAGTGAGAAGGGGAGGATGGGGGGAACTTGGGGAAACAGGATGATTGGGATAAAGGAAGGCTGGATAGAGGAGCACGGAAGCACAATTCTTAGTTAAGGGAGCCACCTTAGGGCTGGCAAGAGACTTGAACCTAGAGTGGCTCCCAGGAGCCCAAGGCGATGTCCCCAGTTAGTTCCTTGGCCAGATTATTTTTTGAGGGTGTCTAGGTTTGAACTCAGGTCCTCATGCTTGGGTAGTAAGCCCAAAATATTTTTGATACAAATACTGCCATGCTAGGAGCTTGTTGGTCATTAGCTGGTTTCCTGAGCATGGTAAAATCATTCCTCAGAAGAAAGCATGGCAGTGAACACAACTGTGCATCAACAATTTTATAGCTCCATTACCTTCACATCTGTAGAACTAGACATGGCTTTGTGGGGTATTAAACTTCTACATTCTCACTATATATCAGTGATTGTGTTAAGTCTTCTGGCTCCTTATTTGAAGCCAAGAATGACTTGTGCACTCACAAGCCACACTGCACGTGAGATCAGAGGACAAGCTGCAGGACTAGTAGTTCTTTCCTTTCCAGGGATAGAACTCAAGGCATAAGGCTTTGCAGCAAACACTCATCACCACTATCACTCTAGCACAGGAGCCAGAAAAGGAGACACATGGCAGAGTATCGAGACCCATCAGTACTAGGAGGCTTACCTACTACACAGCCACATGACTTTGGGCAGGAAACACCTGCCAGAGACAGATAAGAAAAGCACTGAATCCCCAACTTCTGTATTCTAAGAACCCAAGACATCCTTGGCATTTCACAAGATGAGATGACTAACAACTTATATATTTTCCTGTTATTTTCTCAAAACAGAAGAAAGATTTTAGTACAACTCAACAAAGATAGACATTTGAAATAAAAATATTTTTGTATACATTTAAGATGAATACATAAAAAACAGTTGTTCATTTCAGAAATACATTTATTTTCCACTGAAAACGAAATTACAATTATAAACATGAACTAATAAACAAATTGTAAGCATGACCTGTCTTACAAGATAATCAATCTGCTACATTACTGATGATTGAATGTCCCATAAGTTCTAGATACTGAAACTCCAACACAGTATTAGTACTTTATATATGGACAAATGGCATGCTTAAAAAATATTCTTCCCTCTTTGCTCTCTCCCTCCCTCCCTCCCTCCCTCCCTCCCTCCCTCCATGCATCTGAGTGTAGTGTGTGTGTGTGTGTGTGTGTGTGTGTGTGCGTGCACACAAGCCACACTGTACATGTGAAGGTCAGAGGAAAACTGGCAGGACTGGCAGTTCTTCTTTTCACCATGTGTATCCCAGGAACAGAACTCAGGTCATCAGGCTTGGCAACGGGCAGCCTTCACCTGGTGAATCACCTCACCCACGCAAACGCTGACATTTAAAAAAATATTTTTCTTCACATCTTTCAGTTTATTTTCAAAATAGGAAAAGAAGTTTAGCATACAATTACAGGAATAGAATTTTTAAATAGAGATTCACAGTAACTTCAAAATATATTTACACTGAAATACACACAAAAATAGTTGCTGAGTCAAAAAAACCTTTTCCTCTCAAAATTAATGAAATTGAGATTATGAATATGAGCCAAGGATACGTGTCTCACAAGGGAACTATGGATTAAATTTGAAAGTACAGGCATGTACACCACTTACAGCATTCACACTACTTTTAAAATAGGCTTTGTTGTCTAGGAATGGAAACTCTCAGTGACAAGCTTCTGATAGGCATTTGGTCTACTGGATATGAACTTTGTTGCAAGAAGCAGCAAGTACATGTAAACGATGTCTTCTCTTTCCCACAACAACTACATGAAAGTGTTGTGCCCAGATTATGACCCCCAGAGAGAGACCATACAGAGAGGCCCAGACTGTAATAAGCAAGGTTTAATCAGCATAATACAAACATGTTTGGACTCCTCTCCATCTTGTATCTCCTCTGTGGGGTAGGCTTTTAAAGGTAGAACTACAAAGAGGCTTTTTCAAGGTGCTTTGGCATGGGTGCATGGACTTTTGCTCCTTCCCATCCTGCTAAGTCAGCTTCCTCCTTGTTCTCAGAGCAGGCCATCTTTATCAGCCTGTACCAGGTGGCTGACTGGCTGGGCTAAGTGACCTTGTGCTCGGAATCTCTCGGGTGGGAGAGGGGAAGGCCACTATCTTCCTGGGAAAACATTCTGCTAGGAAATTCTCGTCCCTTTGAGAATAAGAGGTGAGGGTCCCACAAAAATAAAGTCTTTACAAAATGCAAATGATTAAGAGCCAAGGAATATGTTTACAAAGTAATGTAAGATCTCAATTATCTCAGTAAATGACTTAATTTGCATTATCTGGCTCCTTTAGTAGCTCTTGGTTTCTAATTCTAACTTCATTCTGCATTTATGGCACTAAATATTGGGAATATAGGCATCTTGTGGTGTGATATTAAGAACTAGCTTTTGAGGAAAATACAAATATTTTTTGGATTTTTGAGACAGGGTTTCTCTGTAGTTTTTGGTGCCTGTCCTGGAACTAGCTCTTGTAGACCAGGCTGGCCTCGAACTCATAGAGATCCGCCTGCCTCTGCCTCCCCAGTGCTGGGATTAAAGGCGTGCGCCACCACTGCCCGGCTTGGAAATACAAATCTTAGTTGTAGTTTTTATAGTATAATTATTGTGAGATTTCATGGCAAAAACAAGTTGACATACTGGTCCTGTCATGTCTGAAACAATCATCTATCACAGGCTATTATGAACCATTGCATGGTCACCAGTGTCAAGGAATCCATAATCTCATCAAAGGTAGTTATTTCAGAAGATAGAAAGAACAATTGAGATAGAAATATAACTTATAATAGTTATATTTTTAACCTCGAGCTTTCAAAGTTAAAAAGAAAACTAAAATCTATAGAATGTTTCTTGCTTTTTCTCTTAAACTTATTTCAGGAAATTAAAATGTACCATATTTGAAAGAAAATAAAGAAAAATAGAGTAAGGAGAAAAAAAAGACAGGATAGTTTAAGAAATATAGTATTAGTCATCCGTACAGGTCTTGTGTTTACAGATGGAAAATGTTATGAAGAGCAATAAAATGCAACTATCAAATCCCACCTTCTTTAAGTCCCTTCTATTTAATTTACATATGCTTTAGATCTGTTTTAATCTGTGGCTCAGCTCTGGTGTGATTAGCTGGTCTATTAGCATGAAGCCAAAGGACATGTTGCATAATACTATTCCAACAATTATCTCATTAAAAGGCTGAATTAAATTCCAATGTCTAAAACTGATCTTAGTTATAGCTAGCTACCTGCCTTGCATCAGATCTTGGTTAACTGCCTGTTGGGGTGGTTAGGGAATTCTTCTGGTAGCAAAATATGGAGTCTGCAGGTGGGGCATGTCCCCTGTTGTATCAACCATGGTCCAATGCACTAAGGAGCAAAATGATTAAGTCAGAGTTTCAAATCTAGCCTAGCAAAGGCAGCTTCCACTCTACACATCAGTCACCAACCAAGATGCCTTCTCCTCTGGTGGTTCTGAAAGCCAAGCCATCTGCTACAACTATGGTTTGCTAAGCTATCCATGGCAATGGCAGAGTATTTTTAAGCCAGTCTATTTGGCTCAAATTTGGTTTCTCCCTATTTTAAAAAATGACTAGTAGTTCTACAAGGATATTGGAGAAGCTTGCTATTTACTCTTTGGTTGATTTGATTTATATTTTTTCACTTATAATTAACTAAACAAATAACTAGGCATATGAAAATTACCAATTCCTTGATGGGGCTCTAAAGCTGAACCCCCCTGGAAGAACAGTCTCTTCAGATTGTTTTCTGCAGTGAAACAGTAATCCTGAACTGTGAAGTGTTTGTTATGTTTTGGTAAGTATTGACTCTAAAACTAGGTATTTTTGATGTTTGAATAATGGAGAGGCAAATCAGATAACAGGATTAAAAGTGTAGGGACTATATTTGATGTCTAATAACCAACCTTGAAGAGTAAACTGAATGAATTATATGTTTCCTTTTCACTGGGCAATGCAAGTAAGTTTTGACAAACATTCTTATTGTAAAATATTCACACATCAAACTTTCAAGATGGAAAAACTGGGTGTCTAAGTGTCATTTGAGACTTTATGGGATTAACAATTTTTCAAACCTCTTCAGATCAAAGCAGACAACACACATAATTTTGTACCACATATTTTATCTTTATAACATGGTTGGAAAAATCAGGCAATTGTTTACTTCCCCGAGAAAAACACTTCTTGTCTAAGATTATCTTTTCTATTGTTGAATCACATTTTTCCTCAGAGGATTTGGACCATACATGGTAATCAGTAACAGTTACACAACAGCAGCACCAGGAGTTAATCCATATACATAGCAAGAACACAAAAGATATGTCGGCCTCACATTTTTCTAACATTAATCCAAGTCTCAGAGTCTTCAAACATAAACACAAGAGGTTAGATTACTAAAACAAGTCAGTTTTAAAATGTGAGGGGCCATTATTACATATGGACAATAGACACTGTAGAATTTACAGCAAGAAAGGGTAAAATGTCACTTCTTTGTTACTAGTCCTATCACTCAATTGCTTTCTATTTCTCCCAGTTTGCTCAAGGGAACTGTATACTGTATACCATTTAAATCTCCAGGCTGTCCTCCCGAAAACAGTAGTACAGCCATGACTGCATACAGTGAAAGATGTAAACGTTCTGTATGGCACTCAGAGAAGGAAGTGCAGTGATGGCCAGTGGGGCTGTGAAATGACACTGGATGCTCATACACCTTGTAAGCAAGGCAGTAAGCTTGCTTAGCTGACTAATGCTAAAATATTAACAGGACAAGCTTAATTGTTTACCTGAGAGTGGGATTTGTGAGCACAAGGTAAAACAGAAAGGTTTTCTGGAGACAAATTTTCATGACAGATTACACAGGGCTCCTCTTCTTCCTCTTCATTATCCTAGCCAAAAATAGATATGATAAAATTTAGGCTTTTTTCCCCTCTCAGATCTAAATGTGGTTTTATGAACAAGATCTGGCTCACCAAGTCCTTGTCTCCTTCCCATGTGGTAGAACCTTGTGGTGACTTGGGGGTCTGGGGAGCACTAGGCTGCGATGAAGTGTGGCTGGGTGATGAACTATTACCATCTGGCGCAGATTTTCCTTCACTCTAAAAATAATGTTTATTTTTAAAAATTATCCTAAAACAGTATCAACAGACAGATTGAATAAAATAAATTGTAGCAAAAATTACCAAAAGGATAAATAATACTCATGATAAATCTTGAAATAAAGTGTTGGTAACATTTGTTAGAGCTACATAAAGCATTAGTTTAAATAAAATAAATCTTTGCAAAAAAATAGAAAAAAGAAACTTGCATTCAGAATTGTTCAAAGCAGTCTTTAGAAAATTCAAAGGGGATCAGTTTTATTCTACTCTGATCTAAAACAATCCCACGTCATCTATAAGTTGAATATGTAGGATTATTTACTGTAAATGAATGATGTCCTATGATTATGTTATTGATTCTTGACTCTCTAAACATGTTATGGCACTATTACAGAAACAAGAATAGAGAATTAAAGTTAGTTGCTGTTGTTTATTGGCTTGCTTGGTTTACCTCAGATTTCTTGGGCTCAATCATTTGAGCAATCTTGTAAACAATTTCATCAAATGTAAGTCGAGACACGGACTTTCCATGAGAATCCTTGAGCTGTTGTAAGAAATCTGTAAGCTCCTTCCTGGAAGAGATGAAGAATAGAGAAGGTTGGTGTTCCCTGCTCCTCTGAGGAAGTGCCCTCAAAGGTGAGACTGAAAATCCTGCTCATATGACAGTCAGCACACAGACTCAACTCAGTAGTTTTGAATCTGAAAAATGTTACCTGCATGCATTTAAAACCATAATAAAAACTACTAATTGTGTCCAAAAGCTATATTTAATGTATTTACCAGTGAAAGTTAACTATGCTTATGAAAGTACTCACTATGTGAAAACTGAGTTGATTCATTTACATATTGAGAACTTTATATCTCAAATTTCATTCAGGACTAAACTATTCCTTTTTAGTAACTATTTTAAAAATAACTATTTGAATAGTAACTTTTGCTGTTATTGTCTCAGTTTTGTAGTATTTAAATATTTTGCCTTCATAAAACTCAGAGAAAAAATAAAGATTAAATAAAAAAGTAAAGAAAGCAAAAGATACATTCATTGCATGATAAAATAATTAACTTCCAATTATTTTAATCAGTACTTGCCTTTTTAATCCTCCACTGCCACCTATACTTATAATAGGATGATTTTTCTTTCTTTTGGTTTATGATTTATTCATTTTATAATTATATATAACTTTATAATTCTATTTTTCTATTTATAATTATGAAATTAATTAAAATCATACCCTAATTAGATAACAAGGTATGATACTTTCAAATGAAAATACAAAGTAAAATAAGTAGACTTATTTCCACACATACAAGATACAAGAGCAGAGATTTTAGAATTAACTTTTCTTCTCCTAAAGTCAGACAGTGAAATCCAGAACAATTATGATATCTTATACTGAACTGTGTTCACTCACAAATAAATCATAGGAACCTCAATAAAATAAAAAAAAATAAGTTGAAACCTGATGACATTGGGCTCAGCATACAATTAATTGAAAATTTGATAACTTTTTATTACGGTAATTATTACAGCTGGAAGCATTCAAATTGGGTAAGTTTATAGCTACTACTTCGAGCAAATGAGCAAACATAAATTTAAACACTTATCTTCTCATGCCTTAAGACTAATAAAAAATTAAGTTTACCTAGCATTTCTGTTGAGCACTATGCTTTCTTAGTCAATTTTATTTTACTAAGACCATGGTAAAAAAAATAGTTGTACTTATGGGTATATGTTAAGTGTTTCATTTCTACAATTAGGGCTATAAAAATTGTAAAAAAAAACAGAAAAAAACAGTGTAACCACTAAGGAAAAGTCAAAGTACCTTGTTTGCTGTGGAAAAGCCATTCTCAGTCTGTCTGTAATCCTCTCCCAGTTTATCATGAGAGGTTCACTGCACAGACTTGCACTGGGTGACACATTGTCAGCTATAGGTGTTGGCATAGCCCAGGTTATACCAGGCATCTGTAAAGGGCAGAGATATAACCATCAGCTTCAGTAAGTAGGTAACACCACATGTCAACATAACACTTTGATGCCTCAGAAGAAAAGCAGAATGAAGAGTCAAATCAACATTCTCTTCTTAGAGCTTTTTTCTCAACAGACACAGTGTTTCTAACTTGTTGTTACCTATTTTAAAAGCAGGATGTTTGCCCTGTAATTACCAGCAAATATAGAAACAGAGTGCATTGTTGAGTTTTTAAGAAATAATAGTGAAAAACTGAAAACTACGTAAAATATGCCAACATGGGATTAAGTAAAAGAAATTATAGCAAATCAATCAAGTTTTTACAAATAGATGTATATGTCTGGGCATAAGAGATATTCATAGAATATATTTAGGTTTTTTAAAAATTAGTTTATAGCATAAAATTTATAGTATGACTCCTTTAATATTAAAATGTTTAATAACTGCATGCATATAAACACACAAAAGCATCTGTAAGTTATATAATAATCTACAAATGGTTATTTTTTCTAGGGATTCAACAAGATAATTTTACTTTCGACTGTCTATATTTCTCTATTATCTATATTTTTCCAACTATTAAATATACTTCTATTATTAGAAAAATAACAAAGATAAAATTTTAAGTTCTAAATAATGATGATGATAGTAATAGAAGTGTTTTTGCTAAAAGGCTCAAAAATATAGACAATGACAGTGTAGAAAGTACAATATATCTAATGGACCTATGACACCAACAACAATTGTTGTGTGTTTTTTATGGAAGTTCTTAGAAACATCAAGTGAATTAATATAATCAAGAAAATTTTTAGAGCACTAATTGAGTTATTAAAGCAATAAAACCATGGCAACGTTTATTGAAACCTATGAGTCACCATGAAAAGTAAGCAACAACTAGCAGTAGTTGGTCTCTAACACGATCTGCCTCAGTCTCTAGCTTCCATCAGGAACCCGAAGATAATCTTATTAGGAGGCTAAAAGATTTCAATGTTTTCAATAAAATTCTACTCTGGTCATTACAGAATAACAGCAAGCAAATTGCATAAGCACCACAGTTAACTTATTTAAAATGTTAAGACTTATACACATATTTTTGTAGACAGCATAGACATAAATGAATCCATCTAATCACAAATTTCAAAAAGATTGAGAGCAAGATACAAGAACTATATACTACTATATATATTCATATGTGGAAATACAAACAGACACACACACACACACACACACACACGTGCCTGAGTTCCTTTATGAGAAAGTCAGAAATAGAAATTTTTTTCCCTAATTATAACTGACATTATTCTTTCTGGAATTTTGTTGTTGTTGTTGTTCTTTTTGTTTTTCTTAAAGTTTAGTCAAGACAACAAAAAATAATTCTAGCCATTCTAAATGTCTTTATTCTTTCTTCTGGTTTGAATAAAACTTATCTGACTAGCTACAATTAGGAAGATTGAAAACTTTAGGGTTTTTGTTCCAAGCTCATGTTACTCATTTTATTGGTTACAGATACAGTAGAACCACTCTGGGTGTGTATATAAGCTTAGTAGCTACATAGTTCACTGTGATTTGTCCCCTTTGCTTTTCTACACAATAGCTATGTCAAAAATAAAAATGCCAATCTGTCTCACAGTTTTATTGGTTAGAGAAGTAAAACTGCAATTCCAAAGACTTGAAAGTATAAAGATACAAATTTTGTATTTCAAAACCAGGCTAATGTTATGTGAAACAGGTATTCATTCATTCATCTTTTAATTATCATCATTACTAGCATTACCGAATTATCCTAACAAACAAATGAGGACAAAAGTTTTATTCAGGAATCCCATTATATAGTTATAAAAAACTAGTTAATATTATTTCATCAGGAAAGCCACTTACCAGGGGCGGTCTAGGCTGTACAGCTGCAGAAATAACTCCAGGGCAAACTGCAGGCATTTGAGGAACAGTAAGTATGGGTCTAAAGAAAGATTCCTTCACAAGGGGTCTTCCTAAGAACTGCTGTATCTAGCATATAAAAAAATTAAATAAAATAAAACTCTGTACACATATAGAATTGTTTTTATTTTGGTATGGACAATGCTTTAAAATCAGAACAATGTAGGGGTAAAACACGGATTGGAAATTCAGATACGAAGTATATTGGAAGCAATGAGTATATCAAAATCCTATTTAAATCTATGAAAATTTGAATGAGCAAAGGAAAAAGATAGAATAGAAAGAACAATAATAAAAATAATAGAAAATTAAGAGTTTATCACGACCCTCTCTGTACCTGGTTGGATAACTCGGGATGCCAAAGTTAAAATAAGTTAAAATAAAATAAGAGGCTTAGATGAAACGATCTTTAAGTTTCATCCACAGAAGCTAAGTAACAAGATGAACCCTAAGAGAAACATATAAAGATCCCCTTGGGAGAGCCGGGCGGTGGTGGCGCACGCCTTTAATCCCAGCACTCGGGAGGCAGAGGCAGGCGGATCTCTGTGAGTTCGAGACCAACCTGGTCTACAGAGCTAGTTCCAGGACAGGCTCCAAAGCCACAGAGAAACCCTGTCTTGAACCCCCCCCCCAAAAAAAAAGATCCCCTTGGGAATGGGAACTAGACAAGATCTCCTGACAAAACTGGGAGCATGGGGATGGGGCAGAAGAGTGGGTGAAAGGGGAGGAGGCGCAGAGAAGGGGAGAGGGAGAAAACTTGAGGATTCAGAATAGAAACGATGGGGGAAGGACAGAGACGGAAAGAAAGAAAAGAGATATTTTGATTGAGGGAGCCATTATGGGGCTAGCAAGAAACCTGGCACTAGAGAAATTCCCAGGAATCCACAAAGATGACCCCAGCTAAGACCCTAAGCAATAGGAGAGGGTACCCAAACTGGCCTTGCCCTATAGACATATTGATAACTATCTTTTTTTTTAAACTTTAAAAAGAAGCTTTTATTTATTTTGTAGCATGTGCATTACAGGAAACAAAACACAAGAAGCCAAGAACAGTCACCCAGCCACATGCAGCTCAGCTTGCTATGTCCCTCTGGGTGCTGCAAGTGTACATACATCAGGTGACTGAGGTTACACAGTATGCATCATGCTTGCCCCCACATTGTGATTATTCACCATCTAAAACCCCACGCTACATGAGTATGTTGATAACCAAGAATACACCACGCCATCTCAATCTGTCAGACAAAGCTATAATCCTGTCTTCCTTGGCAACAAAAATTTCATAGAAGACAAAAATGGCAGCAGGCCTCTAGATAGAAGTACTGGCGAAGTTACAATTAAAATTCTGCATTCCCTCAATGCTCAGCTTACAGGGAAACACAAAGCAACAGAGCACATAAGCACAGCATTCCTAAGTTTATCTTCAGATCTATACACTAAAATGTGAAGGCATGTTTCTGCTCAATAAATGTATTCCTATGAGCACTGAAGATGCACCTACGGCAGGGGTTCTCAGGATGTCAATCTCAACAGCGCAGTGCTGCAGACCTCGCCCTGTGAGCCTCCCTGTCCTTCCAGTCAACCTAGCAATATGTCCAGACACGGCTCAATTCCATGTTCAAGAGGAACCTTTTCTGTCAAGCTATACCTTTAACCATATCCACTCCTTTAGGTCATTTATGAAGTTCAGATGTTGTGGACTGAACTTTGAGCACAATAAACACAAGTATCTTCCCAGCAATGCCTATATGGATCTCTGGGTACAGTGAAAATTGTCTTCTAGATATGGTGGTCCTAGCCAAGAGCTCTTCCCTCATTCGTCTTCTTCTCTGTCCATCTCCAGTTCAGGATGATGCTAGTGACAAAGGGCACCTCTAGAAGACGGCCTTTCCAAAAGACTAGCAGGACATTTATAGTGGACCGTTCTACTTCTAACACCCTTTGGGCACTGGGACTTATCCTCTAACACTTGGCAACATTAACGGAAATGCACAGGGGGACAATGGCAGGACAACGGGGAACCAACCAATAGGCACAGCACCTCACTCGGCACTCTTCTTTCCCCTGCCCACCTCTACCACCTGGGAACAGCATCTGCTCAAAGAACACGTCTAACAGTTCCATTCCAGTGTAACCATTCCTATGAAATAACAATCCTTAAAAGGTGCTGTTAACCCTCTATTTTCACCGTGTGTGCATTTTTTACATTTATGGATTAGTGCATATGTGTAGGCACATGCATGCCACTTTGTATGGAGGCTAGAAGACAATTTGTGGATCAGTTTCCTCTTTCGTGGATCCTGGAGATCACATTCGGGTCACCAGTTTGTGGCAAGCGCCTTTACCTGCTGAGCACCTACCAGTCCATTATGCACATTTTCTTACTGTGTGAGACAAAGCCCTGGCTTGTAGCCCTGGCTGGCCTGGGACTCACAAGATCCACCTGCCTCAGCCTAGGATTAAAAGCGTGCGTACTACACCAAGTTATTATGCACTGAAAAGCTTAAAGACAAGATGTTTCCAGTAACACTTCCATTTCCCCAGCATATGTACAGTGCGGGGCAGAGAATAAACCGCTCATCCCTAACAGACCCGAGAGCATTGCTCTGGTCTAGAACCTCCCCACCTCTCTTTAACCCAAGGGTCAGGTTTATGAATCTGTCATGGTTTCGTGGGGATAACAACCTCACTTCCTCCATGGTTTTAAGAGTTCTTTCCTATGAATTTTAACACAGCTTTCAAACACTACTCTACTCTGTCACATACTGGCAGCCTCTTTCCCTTCTAGAAGACTAGGTGCTGCATATCTGACTCGTCCGTCTTCTGTACACATGATATACTGCAAAATAAGAAGCACAGAGAAAAGGGACAATGACTAATCTTGCATCACCAAAACTTACATTAGTATTAGGCCATTATACATTTTCTTTCTTCCTCCCTGCCAATCCAGCACAAGTCTGTATTGCTCAGAAGAGATCTTTTCATTCCATTTCCAAAAGATGGCATTTCACGAGTTTAAACAGGAGAATCTACAACATGTATTATTTACTACATCTACCTTTAACATACTTTGTGCACTTCTAAACACCTAGAAGGACTAGATGTTTCAGATGAGGACATAAATTTGTCCCCTATATACACAGTAGTGTGGAAATCACACACATGTAACAATGGTTAGATCTCAAAGTGTCTTCTGCTGAGAGCATTCTGGTCTCTGACCTTTTTCTTCAGCCCCTCCCCTGTATCACAAGACACAGGCACCTGTCACTTGGACAATACTTTCACAACTCTTCAGAAGACAACCTTGGTGTGAATTTTAACAATGAGTACACAGAAGGTGTTAGTTTACTAACTCTACTTTTGTCATTTGCTAGCAATTTAATACCTAGAAACTAGGTATCATAAATGAGGACCCCTTTGTCCAGTATGTACAGTATGTACAGTGTAGCAAAGTTAAATGTATATAACATACAGGGTGGTGGGAAGCTAAAAACGTCTAGCACACTAATGGGATCTTTTTGCAGTTCCTTCCCTCCACCTCCTCAGTCCACTGGACAAGTCAAGCTTGTGCACTGTTCTCGGAGGTGGGTTAGCAATTCTACTTCTAAACATAGTATCTCCAGTTTTTCAAAACTATTTACATAAAGTATTATTCTACTACTTCTACTTTTAAATGTATCAAACACTGAAAATACCTAGACAGACCAGGTATCTCATGTAAGAACTTATCTGCTATACACACTACACTGGCAAATAAAACTGTATGCAAAGCAATAGTTATTATCTGATGTATCTTCTAAATATAACCATCTGGGTTTTGACCCACTTTCTTCTCCCTTCTCTGCCTTCAAGCCAGCAGACAAATAGAGACATAGGCAATGCTCAGAAATAGCTGAAAAAATTCATATCCCCAAATCATGTACAGAGCAAATTAACAATGTGCTAATTTTACTACTTTGTCATACATTGGCAACCTCTTTACCATCTAGAGATGAGAAGCTGAAAATTTTAGGCATGTGTCCATTATATACAGACTACACACAGCAAAACAAAATGCAAATATATAGCAATGATATCTGAAAAGGAACTGACTCTTGATAGCTATCTTAAATGTCACCACAGAACCTTCATCCAGCAACTGATGGAAACTGGCAGAGACCCACAGCAGAGCACTTGGCTGATCTTCCAAAGTCCAGTTGAAAAGTGGGAGGAGTGAGAATATGAGCAAAGAAGACAATGATGAGGACACCAACTGAAACCTGAGTTAATGAGAGCTCAACCACTCCAGCCAGACAGGGAAGGAACCAGCATAGGACAAAGCTAGACCTGCTGAATTTGGATGACAGGTATGGCTGGGGCAGACTGCAGGGCCACTGGCAGTGGCATCAGGATTTGTCCCTGATCTTTGTACTGGCTTTTTGGAACCCATTCTCTCTGGATGTATACCTTGCTCAGCGTGGATATAGTGGGGAGGGCCTTACCTTCTCCTGAAGAGTTCATGGTGGGTAGGGTAGAGTGAACGGTGGAGGGAATGGGAGAAAAGGAAGGAGTAGGGACTGGGACTGGTATGTAAAATGAAAAAAGATGGTTTGTTTCCTTTTTAAAAAATAAAGTGGGGAAAAAAGATCCACACTCAGATCTAATAATATAAGACCCTCAAAGGTATAATATGAATGTATAAACATATAATATCTATAAATCTCAAAGTTCTCAGTGAATGCTGTACATGTTGAGAAACAATACTCAATAATTGCATTTAAAAATCCTCAAAATTATCCACAGAAAAGATATCTGTAAGGAAGCTGCCATTTGATGGAATCCGGATTTTAGTTTTAAAGACAATAGAAGAATGAAGTAGGGCTCATAACAAGGGATACTCCATCACAGAGGTCCCTTTAGGGTGCGCTTGTATTTCCAAAGGGGTCTTGGCAATTGTTAGTTGGAGAGAAACTTTGGTTTGTTTGTTTTTTTTGAGAATAGAAGGGGACAGGTTTAGAGAATTTTTGCAGTGTGCTAGATCTAACATGATCATAAATCGGAACAATAATAATTTGCTAAAATAGAAAAAAACATTAACAGAGCTCTAAGTTATGATCTTAAACAAAGTGAAAAGTTAATGGTGAACTTTATAGTGTGCAGACAGATTGACACTTGATTCTTAATCACCAGGGAGCAGACACTGTATGCCTTATAGGTAAAAAAGGACATTCTGAAACAATTAAAATATAAATTTTAACTAGATACTAAATATTAATATAATCAGTAATTTATAGTTTTATTATTTAAGATAATGATGTCATGATTATACCTAGAAAGAGTTCCTTATCTTTTAGGATATATATCAAAGTATAAATGGATGAAATTATATGATTACCAGAGTTTGCTTTATAGTAGTCCAGGGAGAAGGAGATGATATAAAACAAGACTGTCAACTGTTAATAATGTTGAAGCTGCATTTCATTTTTCCTTAATTTTTACATACATTTATTATGTAAAATCAAGTTACACATGAATATAACATATATATGTAACTATATAGGAAATTATATATAAATTTCAAGTTTTTGTTAAATTTTAAAATGATGAGTAAGTGGTGGGTACTAAGTCTGTACTGAGGTCCTTTTGAGAACCTCTACTGCCAATTTAACAATAATTCTCTGAGAATAATTATGGACTTTTCCCTTCTTCTGCTTCCTAGCACATCATGAAGTTAACTGCTCTTCCATTCCACAATCTTCTTGCCATATGGACCCCACTGACACTAGCCCAAAAGATGTTCTTCTTCCCTTGTTGCTTTGTTAGATACTTCATCATAGAGACTATAAACCAAAAGCAGAACACTAGAATTCAGTAGTGGGTCTCACTAATGACTAAATCTGATCATATGGTTTATAGGATTTTGGAACTGGTTGTGGCAAGAATTTGGAAATATTTGACAAGAAAAACTCTAGAATGCTGTAAGCAGAGCTTAATGGGTCATTTTAGTGAACGTTCAGAAGACCAGAATGCTTATAGTAATGTGAACAGCAATGGAGCACAATAATGAAGTTTAGATGGAAATAGGGCTCTACTAAGAATTGGACAACAGCCATTTCTGTTACATTCTAGCTAATAAGTGGTCCTTGCTATACTCAATAGTGAGTAGTAATGAAGTTTACAGAGCATGAATGTCAACATCAAAAGCCACCTGCCTCTAAGTATCTTATCTTTCTTTACTTTCTATATTCAGACTTACAGTAAAAATTATCACCAAATAATAACTTAAAAGTTCATGGAAACTATTTCTGAGATTAAGTACTCTAGTCTCTAAAGTACACAGATCAGTACATCCAGTTAAACCTAATGGCTCTTAATAAGTGGAGTAGTGGTGAAAGGGGAAACTGCCCTACTGTCAAAAACACAGATTAGAAAAGTTAAAGAAAGTATAAGGTACAAGGTGAGGGGACTGACTCTCTAGTAAGCTTTCTAGGTAATGCTTTAGTTACATAGTTCTAACAGAAGAGAAAGGAGAATTCTGAGCATTCGTGAGCGATCTCTCACAATGTATGTAAGCTCTAGAGGATGAAAACTGCACTTCTAGACTTCATATGCCTGATTAATAAGAACCAGTCTCAGTCAAACTCTATCAGCATGGAGGCCACCAGTAGCAACTGGTGTTTAAAACATGAACTTAATTCCATTTGAGTACCCACCAAACATACTGTATATTCTGTATTTTACACCTTATCACTTATCAAAATGAAGACAGCAACTTTCCAAAATGCCAGGAATCTTACCAGTATCTCAGGACTTGGTGGTGGTGGGGGAAGCTGGATTGGAGGCAAGGTACTCAAGGCAAACCCTTGTTTCACCTTATTGATTTGTTCATTGTACTGTGTCTGAGAGAGAAAAACACATTTTAGACAACCACTGACTTTAAAGAAACAGCATATAGTAGCGTTTGATTTGAATAATCCAACATAAACTAGTAGCTCTCAACCCACTGGCAGAAAAAAATATAACAGTTTCTGACATAAAAATAATTCTATAGGCTTTCATGCCCACAATTAAATAGCTGTGTTTCAGGGGTTTATTGATAAAATACAGTGACATAATTCAGTTTATTGTTTTTCCAATGTTTCCAGGTTCCAAATAGAAACACTGATACAAAGTGAGTATAGGATCTAAAGAGTTTAATACCTATAAGAAACACAAACACATTTTAACAAAGAACCAAATACATTGTCAATGTTCATTTTTTAAAGTAAAAGGAAAATGTTAGAAAAAGATTAATTATATATTCATAATTTTATCTATCTAAAAATACTTCAGCTCTTTCTTGTTACAGTTCTATAAATGTTTTGTTCTCTTAGAATTTGGGAGTAGGAAAGGGGAGGACAGAAAAGAGAGAGGGAAAGAAGAAAGGAGAGGAAGAGAGAGGAGAGGAGCAAGTTTACTTTGGGAAATTTTAATGTTTTCAATATTTTTTGGCATTATTCCCAGTTCTCTTTGTTCATTTTAGGAAACAACCCATTAGAACCGGATAACCTTTTTTAAATGTAGAGATTTCCATGCAAGAAATAGGTTTCTGAGGATAATATTCTGAATACTCCTAAAAGTACTTTTAAGTACCACTAAAGACAAAGGAACAATGATCCCAGGGAGAAGTGATTAAAACCATCATTTAAAAAGTGGATAAGTCTATAGTGTTTTGAGGCAGCTCTTTGTAACTGACCACCACTGCTTCATTTATAGATGTACGTAGTATGGATGTAAAAATATGTTAATCAATATTACAAATGAAGATCTTAGGACTATGACTATAGTCACTAGAATAGCTTTTTCACAGTCTCAATTCAATTAAATCAGTAATTAAGATTCCACATTATAGAAAAATTGTATAAAATGTTAATACTAAAAATGAATACTGCTCTATTCGACATTTCACTTAATTCTATAGCTGATTGGGACATTTAATTTTGTTTGACTTTGAAATTCTGAGAAAGCTAGGTAAGGAAAAACTTTTGAGTTATCTTTTCCTGGAATAAGTATCTAAAAAGTCACACATTTGAGTCTCTAATTTATATCTAACACTAACTATATGAAAACAATTACAAACAGAGAACATAAAAGTTTGCTGAGGTTAAAAATGTTCTAAAGTTTCTCAGCTATTTGTTGTTAGTGTTAGACGTTCTTCCTGTATGTAAGTATACTTCAGCACTCACCCTCAGGTATGCAATCTTGTTTCTAACATCTGCCACAATGGCATTCCAGCTGTCCACAGCAGCCTTTAATTGAAGTGATTCTACATTGCTGATATAGAAAAGGAGACACAGTGAAGCTTTCTTTATATATAATATTTAGGTTTCCAAAAATTTCAAAAGTGTTCTCTAGTATTTATGTCAATAATATAAAAGAAAATTATTCAATACTAGCAATTACCTCAAAGGTTAAAGAAACATGGAAAGGTTTGTTATTAAACAGAGAAACTGGCAACATATACACCCGTTCTAAGGGAAGAACAATACACAAGCTTCTAGAATACCATTTTTCTTTCCTATCTTGATAATACCCAATCTATCTCCAATGCAGCAGGAAAGCAGGGAATTCCAAACAGGGAAGCTATCTTAGTAGGTAAAGCAATTTCAATCTCAAGAAAGAGTCCCATCTTGGAGGAAGGTTTTGGATCATGTTCATGCTAACCCTGATATCAGAGTCAGAATTGATCTATTTAGCTCTAACATAATCCATAAAATTAAAGTGTTTCTGAGATGACAATTATAAAAACAATCACACACAGAGATACAAACAAAACTAATGAGCACTTTCCTGTGAGGAAGAATGCTATTACTGCCCTGATGAAGTGCAAAGTATGTATCAGTATAGCAACTGTTTATTGGTATATAAATAGTTAAGACAGGAAAAACTCAGAAAGCTTTAGTGCATACAGTTTCTAGAAGAAATTTTCTGTGGATATCCAAAAGGGCTATCTATAGCAGCATCACCTCATCTACATCATGAGCCCCATATTCTACAAAAGCAAAACAAGTTAACACCAAGCTCAGACAAAAAAAGAGCTTCACAACACTCTAATTTGTACAATGTTCTTTCTCCTTCTGGCAAGCAAAGACTGATCACTCACAATCGTACCTTCTCAGCTTTCGTATACATCAGTATTAAACATAATGGTAATTTTAAAAATGATGACTTTTATAAAATAATGTTTTGATCTCAAGAGATAATTAACTCATTAAATTTTAAAGGTATACCCTGTAGGATTATAAATTTAAGTAAAATTTCATGAGGTTCATTTTAATATCTGAAAATTAATATAGCAAAGCAATAATTGTCATTTATCATGTAACATTAGGTGTTATTACCAATTTTTTCATAAACATATTACAAAAGCACTTTAAAAATCAAGCATTAGTAGAAAACAATTATAAAACAGTTTTTCAATTAGGATCTATCTTGTACGTATCTGGTCTGCATGCATGCCTCTCACTGGGGAGGAAGCTGCCACTGAATTTAGTACTTCTCAGAAATTCAGGAAATGAAACACAATGCATCAAGAACAAGGAAACAAACAGACCCAAGAGCTTGGGATTACTCCAATGGCTGAACACATAAGTAAAATCCATCAACTCTGGAGATATCTGTCCCTCTCTGAGGTTGTAGTGAATTAAGAAGAGAAAGTTACCTTGCTGCCATGTGAGTCACCCTGGCGAGTTGATTGAGGCACTCCTTTTCCGTCTGCTCGAGGTGCAGTAAACCAAAATCTCTACGACACTGTAAGAAGTATACCTACAGATTTTTGAAAGAGAAAGAAATTGAAGTAAGCATCTTCTTCTTAGTCATCTTAAGAAAACCAAAATTATTTTTCAGTCTCTCCCAGAAATACTGCAGTGTCCTGACAAGAAGCATCAAAAATGTTTTCTAATCCCGGCAACTCTGCAATTGAAGTCATTTTATTCAATAGTTACTGGGTCAGTAAGAACCTAAGAACATTACTTTTCAAATTTTTCCCATATACTGGACTAGTCTTGAAAACTTTAAAAGTGGTGCTTTGGTCCCAGAGATACTAACTTAATTGATAATAGGGATAGCATCTAATATGCAGCAAAGTCAGAAAATATTCAAAAGAAATCCTGCTGTTTATATGTTCATGATGCAGGGCTACAGAAGTACAGAAGTAATCAGACTACAGAAAAGGCACTGTCCCAATTGTCCTTACAAAGCTTCTGGTCCAATATTTGCCCCACAGCAGGAAGACTTACAACATCATTACCAATGTACTATCATTTATTCTAAAGTTTTAGCTATTAATCACTCAGTAATTACCAAAGTGAATACTCTTAGACAGCATGTTAGAAAGTGTTTCCTAAGATTAGTAATACAAGCACACAGACACTTTTAACTAAAGCTCTGAAGAACAAAGAAGAAGCATGAGCCAAAATGTAAGGCATTTTTTTTTCCTTTGTGGGGGTAAGGCTGCAGGACTGTGTCCATGGTGTGCATGGATTATCATTCCTTGGTTGTTCTGGAATCCCAAGAACACTACCAGGGAACAGAGCCTACCAATGACAAGTGGCAAGGTTTGTAATGCTTTCTGATGTCAGCAAGCTCTTCAAATAATATGAATCTTACTATAGAGCAAGTTTCATTAGCTAAAAATAAAAATTACATGTACTCATTTCTTCTGAGACCCTAGCTGTGGTATTATAAGCTAACTTTAACAGTATTCGGTGACTTTCAAGGATTATGGAAAATAAACTGGCTTTTGACACTGGTGCTTATTATGATATTTATGTATTTTTGGAAGATTTGTATTGGACATAGCAGAGAATGTGGTATTACAGCAATAGTGAAATGTTATTTTTACACGTATGACTTACTGACTGACCTAGCTTCATGAGAATTAGTCACTCACTATAAATATTTGATTTCTTGGACTCACTGAAGGAAAAACCATAAAATTAGAAATATTCATGTACTCACATGCCAGTGAGACAAAAGGGTCTGAGGAGTTTAAAGCTGTATTTTTCTGAATGATACTAAAATATTTTATTTCTGTTTATTCAATCCAATTTTTTCAACCTTTAATTATACTAAAGTAAACCTATCTCTTCCATTCCCATTTTCCTTTTACCTCAGCTGTTAAGGCTCTATTAGTTTCTGCATTCAGTTTGTTTAAATATGCTTTAACTGTGCTTTCCAGATTATGTTTCTCCATTTCCCACTGAGATCTGAAATGAATGATTGTTAAAAATTAGCAACATTACAATGACAATACTTTTTATCATATTCAGAAGACTATAAAACTATCACACGAAGGAAATGTTTTCTTAGAAAAGTATACAAAGCATAGAAAAACAAGAGAAGACATTGTTTAAAACTTATAGATATTCTTTACAACCAAAAATACAGAAGTTTTAAGGTCCTTAGTACAGAGGCTATGACAAAATTCTAAACCCATAATCTTAAAATGAATCTTACCTCCATAACCTATTAAATATAAAACCTTAGACAAAAACAATATATTGAACTTCTGAATTCTCCTTGACAATTCATTAGTTGAAATCTTCAAGCCTGTTCTGTAAGTTTCCTCCAAGATTTAAACATTCCATCTTGCAGAAAAACCACTTAAACAGTGAGGTATAAACAACTTGAAACAGCTTCATGAAGTCCCTGAAACTGACCAGATTAACTAGGCCCCTCCTTACCAAAGTAAGTAATAAAAGCTAAGAGTCCTTCTCAGAAGAGCAGAGCCAAGCTGCAAAATCACTCTGAGACCAACCAGCTACCTGGAAGAGGTTTAGACCAACTGAGACACCTGGAAAGGACACTAATCAACCGATAAGATACCACAGGCTATGCAGTGTGATCCAGGTTTCCAATTTTGTGACCTGTCACTTATGCTGATGGGCCTTTGTGATGCAGCTGTCTTTGAGACATTTCTGCTCCTATATGTAACTTCACATTCACAATCCTGTAAGAAACCCCAATAAAACTCATCTGGTTCATCAAGCTGGACTTTGGTAGTATCTGTACTTTGTCGTGCATTCCCTTTCTGGGGTGAGTAGATATGTGTGCTGTATCTTCTCAGGAAAATTTTGTCACACAACAAACCCCAAAGTAAGAATTTTGGAGGAGGCAGTACTTTTTCCCTAATGAGTTGGACACAGAACTTTGGGAAGTAATATGATCAATAAAGATGAAGCTGTTATGGATGGGAATAATACTTTATTTTAAATTATGGTTTGAGATAGCTCTACAGCCCTACTATGATGCTAGAGCAAAATGAGAAGATGTAGAAGACCTGCAAGGAGGCAGCAAGCCCTTATTAGATATGAAACTAGGTGTCACTCCAACTTGGAGCCATCAGTGTGTGCTGTTACTAACTGCAGTCAATAGTGTGTAATAGTAGAGGAACATGTGAGCGAGATGCTTAGTTCTCTGTATTTAGCTTCTACACATGTGAAAATGGACAAAGCTCTATCACCATGAAAAAAATTCCTCTGAATCTAATTCAGAAAATATACATAAACATTCCATGTTTGATATTACGTACAAAATGTTAGCTATTGTTTTTAAATTTTATTTAACAGTGCCTGCTCTTGCATGAACAACAGCAGCCATGTAAATCCTTACCCTTGTAAAAAGGAAGTCACTGCAATTAAAGTTTACTAGTTAATTAGGTATTTGGATTTCTTACCTTAGAATGAAACTGAATTCCATAGGTTGGAATATAAGAGAACCATACTGTATAGGCAATTACAGACTGTGGAACCTCTGAGGATTCTTTCTTTTTTCCCCCATCCCTTTCGAGCTTCCTACACTGAAATCTCAGAATTACACAGCCTACAAACTAAATTTTGCCTTTAACAAGAACTGAAAGTGTAACTTTATAATAAGCAACAGCACAGAAACCATTTCCAATGTTTTGTTAAGAGAAATACACTCAGATTCTTAAAAACTTAAAAAACTGTTGGTAGGGAACATGACACACACACACACACACACACACACACACATACACACACACACACATATATATGGATGGTGTTTACTAGGGAGAAAAATATAATATATTTAAGCAGATACATTACCTCAACACACACATTAACTATTATGGCAATAAATATTGTATAAAAATTGCCTAAAATAAAAAGTACATTCCATCAAAATAAAAAAGTTGTGCTTTAAAGATATCAGACAAATGGAAAAACAACTTACAGAACATGTAAAAATACTCAGCTCAAAACTGTGTACAGGGCTGGTGAAGTGCTTCCCTAGAGCACTTCCCTAACATTCATGAGGCACAGCAGAAATCCTACTTGCACTAAAACATGCAAAGAACTCATAGCATTCAGAGGTAAAAAGATTCCAAATTTTAAAATAGGCCAAAAGTCTGAATAAAAGTTCACTTAAGAAGATAAAACTTAGAGGGATTTAAAACCAGTCAGTATGTTAAACGAAAGAAGCTAGTTACAAGAAGCCACATATATAACTGCATTTATATGAGATGCTCAGAATACACAAATTCAAATGACACAAAGTAAATTAGTGTTTATCAGAAACTAAAGGAATAAGGAGGGGTAACACTACATAAAAGAGCACATAGTTTGTTTTAGAGGTTACAAAAATGCTCTGAAAATAGACAGTAGTGATAGTTATGTACTTCAAAGACTGTATTAAAATCTAGTGAACCACATGTCCTAGCCAGGTGAATTTTATGCTATATGAATTAGTGAATCTTGGTAAAACTTGCAGCTAGCAGTATTAACAGAAGAAATTCCAGTTTTTGGTGTAATTTGCTGCGAGACTGCAACACTGCTGACTGAACTGTTCTCAGTTTTCTCCAGTCAGAGTTACAATAAATATACCACCTTCCAATTTGTCTACACCTCTTTCTATTTATACCCATTAACCCAATGCAGTTGCTGTTATTACTCAATCTAATGTGCAAAAGTGATGTCTGGATAATAAATTATTGGTTATTCCAGCTAAAATGTTGAGTAACATGCAGTTTCAGAAAGGGAGTATCAACAAAAGGAAAGCTGTACCTTTTCATGGAAAGTTCATCTTTAAGGCTCTTAATTTCATCATCTTTAGCATGGATTTGGCGCTGTAATCTAAATATATAAAGAAGTAAATCATAAAACATTAGAAGTTACGCATAACACAGAAAAGCTATAGCTGAGAAATTGACTCAGCATGTCTTATATAAATCACAAATCTTAGCCTTGAAAACAGCAAATTAACTTCTATACCTCATCTATTTGAAATTTATCTATCTTCTTATCCTGACTTCGTCAGAAAATCACATAAGGCCTCTATAATTCTTACTGTGCAGTCACACTGCCATCTAGTGGCCGCAGAGAGATTAAGACTAAAGGAGGCAAATTCAGAATTTTCACTTTTATTAAAAGTTTGACTTACTTGGACACTTTATTGATTCCAAAAGCTACTTGTTGGTTAAGAGATACAATAATTTTTTCTTTCTTTTTGATCTGCATTTGATTTTCATGCCACCTGAATGTCACTGTTTTCAGTTGTCTTTTGTAATCCTGTTCAATGAAAAATAGTTTCCAGCATTCAAGTCATCAAAAAGTTGAAATTGAGGTATATTTTAAATGAACTTTATTATAAAAACATTTGCAAATAAATCAAAACATTGCATACTCAAATTAACCAGATTAAAAATCTATGGAATGTAATGAACTTATTCTATATGATTAGCATTGTCATTAAAATGGGAACTATGAAGCTCACATTAAATATTTAATTTTCAGTATCAAATATTTCATGCATTTATCCACAACAAAAAACCTATGGTAAAAGAACAACTTTATATTATTTTTCACAACTTATCTATTTATGCATATTTAACCAACCCGTCCTCATCCCCTTCTTCAGTTTTTTTATTCTCTTCACATTATGCTGTACCTACATGCACACTTGTTTATAGATATAAATATATTTATTTATGTATAAATAATTATATATATACATATATATTATTGACTAGGTTATACATATGAGAATGAGTATGCACTTTTTTCTGAGATTGCGTGATCTCAATTAATATCATACATAGAAGTCCATCCATTTTCCTGTAGATTTTTTAAACTTCATTTTCCTTTAGAGTTAAATTGTATTCATATATGTGTATATACATACTCTCACACACATATACGCATCAAATTTTCTTTTTCGTCTTTTATTGAAAATAAATTTTTTTTCACATAGTATATCCTGATTATGGCTTCCCCACCCTCTACTCTTCCCAGTTCTTCCCCACAACCCCTCCTTTTCTTGATCGACTCCCTTTCTGTAACACATTAGAAAACAGGCTTCTTAGGGGTAGTAATAAAATATAATAAAACAAAACCACATCAGAGATAGACAAAATATGGAATGCTTCACTAATTTGTGTGTCATCCTTACACAACGGTCATGCTGATATTTTCTATGACATTCCAATTTTAGTCTATGTGCTACTGAAGCTACCATCACCCAAATTTTCATTCATCTACTGATAGAGAAGACTGACCTCAGTTCTCTGCTATAGTGAATGAACTTGCAAAACCCATGAAGAAACATGGGGTGTGCAAATATCTGTGGTAGGGTATAGACTGCTCTGAGTATATGGCCAGGAGCAAGAAGGACGGGCCATACTGTAGTTCTACTTTTAGTTCTTTGAGAAAATTGACACATTGATTTCCACAATGGTTGTATTAATTTGCACCCCCACCAATAATGAATTAAGGTTCATTTCACTGAGTTCTTTAAAACAATGTCATTGAATTTAAACATTTGAAATATTTATTACTTCCCTTAGATTTAATGACAAAAGTACTCACTTCACACTCACACTGCAATTTATAAAGCTGGTGCTGACAAGCAAGTCTTTCCCTTTCAGTTTCTTTGCGGTCTGTACTTTCCTTTCCAGATGAGCCCTTAAGCAAACGGAACAATCATATTTATTTCCTATTAAAAAAAACACTAACTTTTTTTGCAGGGTTTCTACTGTATATAGTTTCCATCTATAACAATTCCCCAAAACGGTTTACTTCCCGAACAGCACTCATTAAATAATACAACTGTACAACAGCTGTGAGTTCCGGCTACTGCTGAGTGACACTTATGCTTGCTACTTGAAGCTTATGTAATGCTCATATTTTTATAGAAATCATATGATGAGGTACTTTCTATTTTCATTTTTTTCTTTTTTTCTTTTTTTCCCGTTTATTTATTTATTAAAGATATCTGTCGCTACCCCGCCACTGCCTCCCATTTCCCTCCCCCTCCCCCAATCAAGTTCCCCTCCCTTGTCAGCCCATAGAGCTATCAGGGTTCCCTGCCCTGTGGGAAGTCCAAGGAACCCCCACCTCCATCCAGGTCTAGTAAGGTGAGCATCCAAACTGCCTAGGCTCCCACAAAGCCAGTACGTGCAGTAGGATCAAAAACCTATTGCCATTGTTCTTGAGTTCTCAGTAGCACTCATTGTCCACTATGTTCAGCGAGTCCGGTTTGATCCCAGGCTTTTTCAGACCCAGGCCAGCTGGCCTTGGTGAGTTCCCGATAGATTATCCCCATTGTCTCAGTGTGTGGGTGCACTCCTCGCGGTCCTGAGTTCCATGCTCGTACTCTCTCTCCTTCTGCTCCTGATTTGGACCTTGAGATTTCTGTCCGGTGCTCCAATGTGGGTCTCTGTCTCCTTTCATCGCCTGATGAAGGTTAATATTCAGGAGGATGCCTATATGTTTTTCTTTGGGTTTTCCTTATTTAGATTTTCTAGGATCACGAATTATAGGCTCAATGTCCTTTGTTTATGGCTAGAAACCAAATATGAGTGAGTACATCCCATGTTCCTCTTTTTGGGTCTGGCTTACCTCACTCAGGATAGACACATTAGACTCAATGTGATGACAGTTTTACCCCATTTAGCTCACATGGAAGTAGGAAAAAGTAACTGAGATGACAGATAATTGTACATCTTGTATCTTTAAAAAAATTTTAAAGATACACTTTTCATTCTGAGCAGATACAGAGATTGTTAATGCTACCATTGTCCACAAACCAGCTATGCTACAAAGGGATAGATCTGTTTACCCTCATCTTTGATGAAAATAGCACCTACCTGATATGATAACATGTGAATACCCTTGGTTGATATTACAGGTCAATAATTAATATCAGCTTATTATGAACTGTGACATTTGACAGTCTGAAACTCACATATTTTTTTTCCATCTCAAGTGTGGACTCCCATATTCCAATCGTACTCTCAGCACTGACACAGAAAACTAACATTCCAAATAATTTGAACTAAATGTCTATTTTCATTTTAAGATATTAAAAGGATTAAGTAAGTAACTTACCTATGTTTGCAGACAGTAAATGGAGGAGCCTGAATTCTAACTCAGGCAATAACAACTAGTATTCTAAATTACAGCAATGCACCAACTTATTTTAATGTTCAACTTCTCTCCTATATTATAAACAGTATACATTGGGACCTCATTATAGCAGTTATCACACCTTGCAAGTGGCTCAATGATTTTTAAATAAGTGAATAAACATTTTCTGCAAGTATGTGACATTTTCATTCTCATTTAGATTTCTTCTGTATTACTGGACTAACATTAATGGCCCCATAAGTAATAGCCAAAGTTGCATCAATTCAGTATGTGTGTGTGAGTGTGTGTGTGTGTGTGTATTCTAATACTACAGTCAGGGATTTATTCACATCAACTTGACCCTTGGGGAGTGGATACCTGTGATGCATCCACATTTTAAACCAGAGAGTAGCTTACCACTAACTTCAAACATGGTGTGTTTGTAGATGTGTGTGTGTGTGTGTGTGTGTGCGCGCGCACATGTGCGTGCATTTCAATCCTTCATCTACTTTGTATAGTTAATTACACTTTTGAGCACTAATATTCTTATCATTTCAAGCAGTGGCTACTACCAGAAAAAGAACTAGAAAAAATTGGTATACAGTAAGTGCTTTTCAGTAGAAATTTCATGGTTGTAACCAAGTTTAACTAAAAGAAAATTAAAGTAGTTTTGATTTTTATGACGTTTAATCTAGTGGGATTTAAGCTAGTTAATGTGTTGTCTCTTTCTTATTTGTTCCTTCATTCTCTTCAGAAATGACTTTTTTCCCCCCAGAAATGCATTTATCAACTTTGCCCAGTAATTAAGAAATGATTTGTGAGCACATGTGAAGTTCGGAATCTCAATGATTGTTTTTGTAATCCCCTTTGTCTTGCAATACCCCCCTTTCCTGTTTTTGTTGCTTTTCTGCTGGGCTTTTCAAAAGACAAACTGCTTAAAGAGCCTAGAGAAAACAAAATTAGTTCTTTCTACAAGGAGGACGGCACAGCTGAGCCCTCTCCACTGCTCACCTGCTCTATCATGTCCAGAATATGCAGTTCGTCCAGGCTACAGAACTTGTCCTCAGCTGCAGAATCATCTTGCGCATCGCTTGCATCAGTCTTTATGTATGTACTGAGTGTGTACATATCTCCTTGTTCTGTATCCAGTTGGTCATCCTTTTCTATCGTATATGAGCTATAATGGGGACAAAGTCAAAGTGAACTTTCATAATGGTATAGTGCTTTCTTTATAGGCTACTTCCTCTCAAATTAACATAATACTGCCTTGTGAGATACTCTGTATTAGAAGGTTCATGGTCAAAGTCTTGCCAGTGCTCACACTGTTCTTTTCTCTTAGACGCTAACAATGGACATTAACATATATGAGATAGTATTTCCTCAAAACACCTATTTAATGGCTCATAGTGGTGTTTCCAAGAATTGTAACATCACAGAGTTTATTTTTCAAATTACAGCTATTAATTAACATTAGTTACTTTGGAAACAGTATTTTGAGACAGGATAGGAAGCTTTTCCACATCTTCAATATTATACTGTCATCAAAATTCATACATTTACCCCAATCAAAGAAAGTATGTATATATGTCGGGAACATAAGAATGATCTATCCATTAAAGTTAAGTATTAGTCTATGGATATAACTATTTTATTAAGCATTAAGTCACTGTCTGAATGAGTTAGTGTGTTAGATGACTTCGAGTAATGTTACAGAAAAAAATGGTTATTTTTACAAAGTTAATAATAATCTAACCTTCAGAAAATACCAATTTATTAAAACAAAGAACTATTTTTCTCTTTGGAAGTTTCCAAGAAGGTATCTGTGTATTACTTAAAAAGCATACCTTAAAAACACTAAGAAACTATTAAAATGTAAATACTTACCCTTGTTCTTCTTCTGAGTCCTTATCCTGAAAAGACAGCATTACCAGAATTAGTAATCTGTATCAACTACTCTAGCTCAACACAGTGATAAGACTGCATTTAGGTGTGTTTCAAACATTTACAAAACTAAACATTTTGTAGAATTATGCTACATACTTATGTATCATCAGTCAATTATGAAAGAGAAATGTGAATTCTATGAAATACATAACCACAGTATATGTGATGCAATTTTTGTAATTCCTACTTATCCTATTTTCTTTTTAAAATAATGTTTGTATCTCATTAAATTTATTTTATAATCTTGATTTTATATCATTGATTAAGATGATAGAGGTGAATACTGGACATGAGTTTATATATATGAGGAAACCATGGGACAGAGTGTCTGTAATATCCATTATTTCTACAGTAACAAAAGGATTTTTGAAAAACTACATGGAAAGAAAATAAATCAGACAGACAATTGAAGAATCTTATACATTTACACAACAAATTGGGAATATTAATAAGGAGTATTGACTTCTACTATCTATGATTCTGAGTTGCCTATATAGGTACAAGGCTGTTTTCTCAGTTTTTCATACTAATTTCTTCTTATCATTTAGGAATATTGACTTCTACCTTGGTTCTAAATATCTGAATACTAGAGATGTATACCTGACATGAAAAGACCTTTAGTTGTTCATACTGAGTGCATCTGACAGTTGATCGTTTCCCAAAGCCCACTTTAGCTCTTCCCATAAAAACTTTAGTCTACTCTAGCCTCTTAGTACAAATCTCTGCAATTCTCTCTATATTGTGACTACCAATTTAAAGGGCTGGATTCATTGTCAAGTTTCTTTCTTCTTATGGCTGCCACATAAAACAAAACAAAACAACAACAACAACAAAAAAAAACCCTAGTTTTTTTGTTTGCTCTAAATCTGTTAGGAGATATGCCATATTTGATTGCTTTTCTTGCAGATAACTCCTGATAGGCATTTTTAGGGCTACTGTTACAGTTAGGTCCATAAGTTATAAGCCAAAACAACAGAGAAAGTAGGTTGCAATTTCTCAATGAGACTTTGTCATTACTTTGTATAACAAACAAACTTTCTTATGCTAACCATTTTCATGAGAATTCTGGATTAGACAATGAGGCTGGCAGCTTTCAGGGCTTCCTGTATATACTACAGAAGTATATACACTGTTGCACCAATTCTGACAATGATTGTGTAACACAAATACAACATAACTACATGCCTAATTATTTTTAACATTTGTAAATTACTTAATGCCAAGAGTAAAATATAACATAAATTTATCTTGTAATGCCAAAATTTCATCTTAATAAAACTATCATTTTCAAAAGTAGCTCAATTTCTTTAATAAAACTAAACTGCAAAAACCCAGAACGTTAAAGAAGCAGTCATTAGATACACACTAACTTATGGAGTATGACCTTGAGACGAAATGTTGTCTTGGAAAATATATATCACTAATGATTTATGCTATACCTTATTAAAGAGGACCTATTAAAATTACACTTATTTTTAACGTAATTTTCATAATAGCTATTGAGTAAATGTTATAATGGTTATGATAATATGACAAAGGAACTGATGTTTTACTTGGCACATTAAAATGTTATTTTATTCTTAATCTTAATATTTTACAAATTAACCTTCATTAAGCTTCATTCATCATTAAAATGTTTATATACAATGCAGTGGCTAGTAAAATAAAAAGCTGATTGTAGTTAGAGAAACTATAGTCAGTTTATGATACACATAAATATTAAGATTTTCAGTATGTTCCAGATTAGAAAAACAAGGATTTTTCTTTTAACCACAAAGTTCAGAGTTTACATGGCATAAATACTAGCCATATGCCCCATTAAAAAGTTCCCATTTTTCTTATACTTATCAAAGCAAATCAGAGATGTCTTAATGACATCTATGATCTATATAGTAACTTTTCTTTTTGGAAGCTGACAAAAGTCTTGTAAGATTTTTTAAAGCTTTGAGAAAAAAAATTTTGGATACAGTGGGGATATAACAAAAAAAACTGCTATTAAAATAAGAAACTATTTGCTGAAGGATATTTGTACACGGTATGAAAATGTATTACTGCGATTGGTGTACTATCTAGGCAGGAGGTACAGATGGGACAAAAGAAGAGAAGGGTGAACTGAGGCATGCAAAAGATGCCATGGAGACATGGAATGAGTCAGACACCCCGAATGGGAAAGAGGGAAAAGCCACATGGCAGAACGTAGATTAATAAAACGTAAGGGTTAATTGAAATTATAAGAGCTGGGGGAACAAGTCTAAGCTAAGGTCAAGCTTTCATAGTTAAATAGTAAGTCTCCATGCTATTATTTGTGAACTGTTGCCCCCCCCCCAAAAAATCTGACTAGAGCCATCATTAAAAATGAGAGCATATTGTGGAAATTAATGAAATGAAAAGTGACTCATTTGAGAGTTAACTTTATAAATACAGATGTATATAAATTTATGTTCAAAAAGGTTTTAAATAAATAGTATTGTATGTCCATCTGGAAGAATTTAAGTTCTAACTGTGACTTCATGTATTAAGCTTCAGGTATTCACAATCCGACATCCCTCTGTTACAATGTCAATGCAGCATCTTACCTTTTTACTCTTAGTTTTTTTCTTTTTCTTTGTTTTACTTTTAACCTGATAAGAAATAAACCATTTATTTAGTATGTAAGTCAAGCTGTACAATGGATATTATCTAATGTTTCTTCTAACTACTGAAGTCTGTCTAATACTTATTTTTCTAGATTTTTATAGATCATGTTTTTCTACAATTTTATGGAAACAAGTATTATATTTGATTTAATCTCAATCTTCTACCCTTGAAAAAGAACACAGAACACATACCAAACAATAACAACAAAGAAAGAGAGAAAGGAACTTTTTAAAGAAAAAGAATATATTCATACACATAAAAGTTTCAGCCAAAGAATAAATCAGTATCTATACAGTAGCTGTTAAGCCATCTAGATTTTATCTAGATGATAATCTCTACTACTGTGTTAGAGATATCGAAATATCTCAATATTCTTATTTCTTTATCTCTTCTACTCTTACTGTATCTTCTCCCTCTTTCCTCTCCCAAATGTACTTCCAATGATAGGTAATAAAAAAAAAAAAACATACTCCCATAGCTATCACAGAGCTTGACTTTTGGTAAAACAATTACTAAAGGATGTTGTAAGTACCACCATTACTGAATGGTAGTAAGTAATGGGCAAAGAGTCATTCCAGTCAGACTCTGTGTGAGCACTGTTGCCTTCAATGTTCTGAATGTAGTACATGCAGAATAAGTTCTTCAAATTCAAATATTAAACCTTGTACCTCCAGAAGATCTTTAATAGATTCTGTTGAAGATTCACTAGGTATTGAGGCTACATCTTTATTTAGTTCTGCTAACTGCATTTCAGTGTTTGATTTCACATCTATACTGTATTCCATTAGAGGTGGACTCAACTCTTCTTCATCATTCTGTAACTCTTCTATATCAATACCTAAATAGTAAAGAGAAAGCTATAAAATCTAGTGGCAAAGTTTTGAAAAGTTCAATCTTTTGTTATAATTATAAAAATACTTGCTAGACCAGCAAGACAATGCAGTGGGTAAAGGCTCTTGCCATCAAGCCTGATGACCTGAGCCCGATTCCCAGAACCCACATGGGAAAGGGAGAGAACCAATCCAGAAAATTGTCCTTTGACTTCAACATTTGCACCATGGCGAGCATATAAACATTTAATTATTATATGAAAATTGCAACAGTTACTTACTCATAAAACACAGGCATGCATATAAGAATGGAACAAGCTAATATGAATCAAATATTGATATTTAAGTAAATTCCAAGTTTTAGGTATTTTTAAATTCTGCCATTGACCTTATTAAAATGCAACTAATATTATTCTATAAAATATAAATGAGACATAAAGAAAAGGAAAAACTCTATCATTTTCTCTTTTACTTTTTCATAAAATATAAGTGTACCATATTATATGACTACTTGTTTGAATCCTTGTTCTCTCCTTCATTGTCCCAAAGATTTAGCCTTAAAACTTCCCCAGAGATGGCCAAACTTTAATCTCAAACACATGGTATTGTTTTCTAAAGAAAAACTTTTATTTGAGAATGTAAATTACATTGAGAATGTAAATTTAATGTATAATTATTTATTTAAGATTTATTTGTACGTGTTCATGTGCATGACTGTGCTTGTATCCGTGTGTGTGTGTCTGTCTGTGTGTATCCACAGAGGCAAGAAGAGAGTATGGATTCTCTTGGAGCTGGAGGTATATACGTATATAGGTGATAATAAGCAGTCTATGGGTGATGGAAACTCAAGCGTGGTCCTCTGCAAGAGCAGCAAGTTCTCTTAACCACTGAGCAATCTCTTTAGCCCCCTAAATTTTATTATTTAAAGCCTCTGAATGGAAATTACTAAACCAGGCAGGGAGTCATGTGTTGCAGTCCCAGATATCCAGATACTTATGAATACAGGAAGAAGGTTTGAACATAGCTTGGACAACACTGCTTATAAGAACAACAACAAAAGCAAAACAAAAACAAAAACTAGCTTTAAAAAAAGGAAGTGAAAACTAGCAATTCACCACCTGTCCCTGGAATACACAACTACTGACAATGGCTTATGAAGACAATAAAGCTACATAAAGCAGCACAGTTAAGCAAGTAGAACAAACAGGCATTTCTGCCTGCTTAAGTCCTGAGTATAAAAATCTTGAGCCTCATCTTTGAGTAAGACACGTGGAAAGCACTAATGTCAAATTTGAGTAAGGCAAAGACTAGGATCAGCTGACCAACAGTATAATCATATAATTCTTATGTAAGATTTTGGGTAATGTACAGTTTAGTATATAGTTTATCTAAATAGATGCCAAAACCATATTTATGTCTTATGAGTAAAAAAGGTCATTTATGCATTTTGGGTTTAAATGTACTTACGCTGAGTGCCTGTTATTGACTGTAGAGCAATTCCTATGACAAACAGAGAAAAAAAATAATTAGGAATGTGATTGCAAGCACAACCAACCTGTATCTGACCAGGATTAAGAAATGCCAGAAATCCTTTATAGAGAATTTATCTGTTCCATAACCACCTAGAAAAGAAGCAGCACTGCTCACTAATGCAGTTTAGATAGGTACAATCTGACTATCATATAATAGCTATAAATCCAGGATTTAAAAACAGAAGTAAAACAAAACAAAACAAAAAGACAGTTCATAATAGTTAAAACCTGGAGCATCAACAAACAACTTTTTTTTTTTAGTTGAAATACAATTACATTATTTTCCGATTCCATGTCTCCTCTCCTACCGATTTTCCCCTGCTTCCTCCCTTTTGAAATCATGGACTTTTTCTTTAGTAGTTATTGTTACATATGCTTACATATAAATACGATCTATTCAATCCACTTAATGTTACTGGCATATGATTTTAGGTACTGGATAACCAATTAGGGAACTCATTTCTGAGGAACACTATTTCTCCTACTCTCAGCAATACCTTAGTTGCACATAGTTCTTTGTCTCAAGGTGGGTCCCTCCAGAGATTTCCTCCTTCCATATTAGTGTATCTACTGGAGTTGTACTTCTCATTTCTGGATTAAGCAGTTATATTGTTAAGGTGTCATGGGTGATGCTTCCCTGTCATTTCTAAAAAGAACAATTTCACAGCCGTTTTCCTGATCCTCTGGCTCTTCCAATCTTTCTGCACCCTCTTCTGGAGTGTTCCCTGAGCCTTAGGTGCAGGGGTTGTGTTGTAACTGCATTAGTTGCAGGTGTACACCCATCATCACTTAAACAAACATTTTACAAGCAGCAATTCTTATTATTAGTCTAAAGACTGTGAAGGAAATCATGAATTTTACAGCATGTTCCTACTGAAAGTTTGAGTCTTCTAAGCCATAAAATTTACTCCAAACATGACTCCATTCCCTGTCCTATTCTATTAATCTACTATCTATGGTATGTAACAGGCTGTATTAGACCCTAGAGATTAAATATTAAAGGTTAAAAAGAAAAAAATCTTCATGTAGATACTGGATGTTGGACCTGTAAATGAAAACTGAAATTTTAATTATTAAGAACAGAGAAAAAAGCTACTATAAAAGCCTCTATTAAAGGTATTTGACAATAAACTCTTTAAGTGAAAGTGAAAATTACTTGAAATGCTCTGTACTTAATGACTACTCAGAGCTCTTTACTCAAATATGTGTATACAAATACAAATATGTATATATATGTATATACATACACACACAATTTGGGTAGTTGTGATTTTTAAGGCCTCTAAATTATACATCAAGGGTTCTTGTCTAGTTGTCTTCCATACTGAATAAAAGGATCTAAAACACTAAATAGGAAAACAAAGTAAGTATACCTAAACACAGAACAGACACTCAAAAATGGTTTGCTGGCTTATGAAGTAATGATTTAGTACCTTGTTGATAGCAGGATAACATCCTCTGGATGATTTCTGGTACTGGTATGCCTAGATAAATGGACAGCTGATGATAATCAAGGGAGATATTCTCAATAGGATTCTCCTTGACTTTGTCAATATCCTCTTGTTTCATTCCAAGGCGCAGAAGAATATCAGAAACCTTTTTCCAAATTGAATTGAACTGTAACTCAGTGAGACCATTCATCAGAATCTCACTGAGGAGGATATCTCTGTACTTGCAGAGCCTCAGAATGTCTGCAGACTTAGAGAGATCAGAAGACGGTGGTTCCATATCCCAGCCTTTTCTGGGTGCAGGGAATACATTCAGATGTTTAATGAGTGCTAATAAGAGGCATAAGTCAAACTGTTTGGACTGTGGTAGTTCCTTGTTTGGGGGATAAAGCAGATGCCATGATCCACCCAAAGGATGATTGGTCCAAAGATGATTGTAGTAGGGTTCCAGCACATTCTTGTGTATAAGCAGTTCTTTTTTCAAAAGAGTGGGTGGCATAGCCTCATCAAATATTTGTCGGACAATGTCAGTACCAGAAATAATAATTATATGAAGCAGATGATAGAAATAATTATAATCAAGTTTGAAGATAGGCATTTCATCTGAAAATGAATTTGGAGAAGTCAAAACAATCCATATTACTGTTCTTTTTCTATGTGGTCTCTCACATTGCACCCTAAGTTCCTGTAGGTTAGGAACTATTTCAAGGAATGAAGTAAAAGTAATTTTACCGTATCAGTGTTCCATATGCATGCTGCTCTCTGATTACCTATCAAAAACTCTAGTCAAAAGGAATATGCTTCTAAGAAAAGAACCTGAAGATTCCTCTAACTCAGGAGAAGGCTTTCAATCAACCATCTATGTTATTTAAGTAAATTAACTTTGGCAAAAAATGGCAAAGTAGATCTGAAAATTCTGGAATATGTAAGGAATAGCAATTTTCTAAGTTTAAATATAATTTACATAAATATTTTTACTTATATTTTACATGAAGTCAGTACTGTCCAGTAGAACTCGCCATGCCAAAAGTGGTACATGCACAGTCTACCACACAATGAGTGATCAACAACTGAGACTTAAAGGTTATTTGATGTCACTGCAGATTTAACTACACATGGCTACTGTCTATCATATTAGATAGTTCAAATACATATTAGTTAACACAGTTATCTAATGAGTTGCTACTAAAAGTACAGTCCATAGACCAGAAGTTTCAGCACCTACCTGAGACACGCCCAATCTTGGATACCACCACAAACCTACCTATTGAATAGACACCTGAGAATTTGTTTGGTTGGTTTTTTTTTTGGGGGGGGGATTCTTTTATTTGTTTGTTTGATTTTTAATCATCAGATGATAGGATATAAGGACTCTCTAATAAACTTAATAATTGCATTGTTATTTTAACAATGAAATGGAATGAAGAACCAGACTAAATTACTTGATACTTTCCAGTTTAACTAAACTTCAGAGCAAAGCAGGCTGAAGTAGGTTTGAAAGTAGTGGAAATTCAGTCTATGATAGTATTTAGTTTCTGTGTGAACAGTAAACTGTGTGTTTATCATAAAAATACAGCTTTGCTATTTTCCTTCACGGTTTTGTATTTTAAGAGATTTTTAATGAATAACTTTGCTTAGTAAACTTGATATGCCCTGTGAAAACAAACACAATGTAGGAGAAATTTCTCAGAAGGCCTTCTCTATACTGTCAAGCACAGAGCACACTAGCATTAGGGGCATCTAGTCTCCCTAGTAAGAGGTGTTGACCCCAATTCTTCTTCCATGGAAACAGGGACCAATATGGTCTCCAATGATGAACAGAATTGTGCCTGGTACACTTCTAAAGAGCTGGCATGTGAATTTAGAATACTTGACCCAAGCTCCAAAATGTTTAGTCCTTCCCTTTTGGATTGCTTACATGCTTGTTTTTTTAAGTAACAAGAAGGGAAGAGCTGGATGAAAACACTCCTAGGTAAATCCTACCATATACTCACAAATATGTTCCAGAGTTAACATGTCTCGCCATAGAATGCCAAAGCAATATGAGTGCCATACACTTGATGTTTTATTGTCTATGGGGTTCTAGAATACAGCAAGAACTATTGGGTGGAATAAACCTGATGTCTGTGAATAGCAACCATTAAAAACTGCATAACTGCAATTATGAATGATACTTTACAGAGACAGTAAATAATTCCACAATACTTTTCAGTAGGAGTCATATAAAAAAGTAATACCTTTCGTATTGAATTTTAAATCAAATTCTGATCTTATATCAGTGTCAGTTAATTCCAGAGACATCAACTTCTTGTAACTGTAAGTAGAAAAAAAAATATTATAGTGAAAAGTACCAAAGTGAGATCACATTTTTGATATAACCAACAGATGTGAATGTTTTTCTTCTATCTACAAATAATTTGAAAGGAATGGGAAAAGATAATTTGAATACAAAATAAAAGCCACTAGCAATGACAAAGGTACACTGTAATTTCATTGTAACAAGAAGAACACAGAATTAAAAATGTTCATTCAAAAAGAATTCTATGATGCAAGAACTACGTGGTAGCTGAAAGAGAGAAATGAAAGTATTAATAGTTTCAGCTCCTCTATGCCCACTTTAAAGACAAAAAGCAGCAAACCGGAACTCTTTCATGTACTATCATGATCAGAAAAGTTAAATAAATAATAACTAAAGGTAACACAACTTATTCAGTTTCAAGAGATATTTAAAAAATAAAAACTCTTAAAATAATGTTAACGTAATTAGAAGGAATGGAAGGAAAAGCGAGAAAATTTGCTAAACAGGTAAATGCTGTGAATAAGTGAAAACTGTATTGTAGCTTTGAAATGAACTTTAACCCACATAACAAATACCAGATAGTAATAATAGGAAGTGCACTTTGTGGTTGTTACTGTTTGTTGATAATGAATCATATCCCTGGTATCTTTACATGGAAAATCTAAAGCTCAAATGAATTACTGTTAAAAAACTAGATAAAAAGAATTATATAAGACTGGTCATAGGAAATGTAAATTGGTAAAACTATTGTGGAAAAAAAGTTTAACAGCATCTAGTAAGTTAAAGATATGCATAAAACGTCTAGAAGTTCTAAGTAAATGCTATGAAAAAATTCCACACATATTTATATTTATTTTAGCACTATTTATATAGTTTAAGATAAGTAACACAATTATCTAGTAATAATAGTGTAAGTGTTGGTATAAAACAAAGTTACAGCAAGGAAATAACACAAATGATTCACACAATATATAGTTTAAGAATGCACAAAATACAAATGTGTTTATACACAGGTTCCCCACAAAAAAACTTATTATAAGCAAAAAATACATTATGCAACTTTGAAAACAAGCTACACTAGGTTAGAAATGTATACTAGAAATTCTTGAGTAATTAAAACTTAGAAACAGAAAGAGCAGCATGAAAAGTAATAGGGCAGCAGTGCTGGAGTTAAGAGCACTCACTGCGTTAGCACAGGACACCAGTTTAGTGCCCACAACTGTCCGTAACTTCAGCTTTATAGGATTTAACACCTGTTCTGACTTTCACAAGCTCCTACACACACAAGCGTGCGCGCACACACACACACACACAAAATCTATTAAGACACACAAATAAAAAACGATGAGATGGAAAAATATAAGATATAGATTTAAATAAATAATCTCAATAACTGCAGAATATACATATTTAAAATATGTATGAATAAAGATTAATAAAGTCAAAAATTTAAAATTGAAAATAAGAGATAATCTTTGCCATCTACAAAAATAAATCAAGTTCCAATGAGATACATAGGTTGAAAAAAATGGATAAAAAATGCAAATGTTAATACCAGACAAAGAGATCTGAAGTAGGATTGTAAGGGATAATAAAGATTTTAAGTGTGGGACTACATAAATGACGTGCATTTAAACACCTAATAAAACAGCTAAAAAAAAAATAAAGATAAACCAAAGACAGCAGATAACTTTTTCAATTAGTCAAGATACAGATATAAAACACTGAAACTAAATGTAAATTGGTACCTAATGTGGGGCCCAAATGTTCACAGAGTGCATGAAAGCTGACACAAACAAAAACAGATATGGTTTCTTTAAGAGGCACTGTTGTGCAGTGGAGAACTTAAGAGGCTGGCACACTAAGTAGAAATAGCAATCTAAGTAAAAATGAGAGTCACAGTGCAGGCACCAAATTCCTAAAATGGGGACGGTTAAATGCAAGCTCAGCTCTCATGGACTCAAGTATGGTGCACAGCCAACTTCCAGAGTCACACTGTGGAGGGCCTAGCTGCCACTTAGCAGTTAAAGGTTGGGCTCGTGTATTCAGAGAACACTACAGGTGCACAGTAAAACAGGACCAGACTTAAAAACAAACAAACAAACAGAAACTTTAAAACAGGTTACAGTGTACATAAGTGCTTAAAAGAGAAAAGAAAATGGGTATAGACAGGAAACAACAAATAGTTTAAAACTAATTAAGCAAACTCTTTAAAGGTAAGAGTAAGTGAATAAGCTACACAAAATGGGAAATACAGAGAGTCTGGAACCTGTATGGTGCTTTGCTGACTTTGAATTATCTTAATTTTAATGAGTGAACAACAGCTGCTGAGAGACACAGGATTCTAAAAGGAACATACTTTAGGAATATCTTAACTTTAAAATAGAATTCATAAAATGTATTGTGCTGAGGAGGTTATGCTTTTGTTTCCACAGGAAATGAAAGGCTGTGGATTCTTTCAAAATTAATAGAGATTAGATTTGATTGGGGGATAGCCCCTGGAAATCTTGGCTACAGGCATAATGAAATAAACCAAGAAAAATGATAAGACAGGTGAGATAGATGCTGATCCCTTGGCATGGGAACAGCATTAAGACCAGATGAGACATGATAAATCCTGTTGGTTACACAGAGATCTCTCCATGACTTATTACATGCCATCCTTTCACATGGTACGGAAAGAGGTTTGGTTATACAGTCCAAATAAACTTATAAAGTTGACAGACATATTTTTTTTTCCTTTTGGTTTTTCGACAGGATTTCTCTGTGTAACAGCCACAGCTGTCCTAGCTCCTGTAGATGAGGCTGTTCTTGAACCCAGAGATCTGCCTGCCTCTGCCTCCCAAGTGCTAGGATTCAAGGTCTGTGACACCACCGCCTGGTGGTTTGTTTTTATTTTTTTGTTTTGTTTCGTTGGACAGACATCTTTTACCTGATGAAAGATAAATACTAAAAAAATCACCTTTGGCTGGATAACACAGTCCATATTTGTGTGAATGCAGATATGTATGTTAACCTTTGAAAGATTGTTTTCAGAAAAAAAAATGGGCCAGACACCAATGAAAATGGGTGGTCCAGGTGATGGGAGATGTCCTTCTGCATATTTATGTTGCTTTTACTGGCTGATGAATAAAGCTGTTTGGACCAATGGCTTAGCAGAGTAAATCCAGGCAGGAAATCCAGACAGATATATGAAGAGAAAGCAGGCAGACTTAAGGAGATGCCATGTAGCTGCTGAAGGAGAAAGACACAGCCGAAACCTTACTGGCAGCCACAATCTCATGGTGACATATAGATTAACAAAAACGGGTTAATTGAAGATAGAGTTAGCCATGAATAAGCCTGAGCCATTGGCCAAACAGTGTTATAATTAATATAGTTTCTGTGTGAATATTCAGGTCTGGGTGGTAGGGAAATGAACAAGTAGTCTCTGTCTACACCCAGATGATCAAGCCTTTCACAGTGCCTCTGTTGCAGTTTGTTTAGAGTTCTGAGTTCAGAACACTTCAAGGCTGCTAGTTGAGAAATTCCAGCCACATAGATTATTCACGCCAGGACTTCAGATAAGTTATGCACTTTCCTATAACAGAAACTAGACAAGTGTTATAACTAGTTTTCTTAGGACTTGACCAGTATTTCATTTTTTTCCGGATCCCCTGGGGATACCATGGCACACAGACAACCGGAAGAAGTCTAGAGAACACACATCCATATTCCCAAGAGGTGGGGTGGGTGATTTTCAATCATTTGGTAGGTAATGGATATTTGTCATCATTTTGTGGGGATATGGGAACACAAAATAAAAAGAAAACTATTCATCTCAAATATTTTACATTGGTATGGATTTTTGTATATCAAAAGAAATTTAAGGTTATTTTTGTTACACTATATGTTTCTACTCTTGTTTAAAGTATTGTACCTAAGCAGCTCATTTAAAAATGTAAAGTTCTAGTCCTTGAAAACTATTATTATAAACTGCTCAGAAAAATTAAGAAATGTAGGTTAGCAGTTAGTTGATAACAATCAAACTTATGGTTATGTTAGGTGTATTTTTCAAGGTTAAACATATATATTTTAGATAACTAATCTTTATATGCTTCAGAGACCGACAGAATACGATATTCAAGATGTTTAATAACATAAAGCTTTTCATGATACTGAGACACATCTGCTCTTGACAGCACCATCTACTTAATAAAAGGATGACAGGCAAAGAAGAACCTCCATATGGAGTTTGCTTTCTTTGTGACAAAGCTAGCCATTTAGGCAAGAACCTACCACTGCCTAGACTACTGACAGTATACTGCAGAGGAACCTTAGGTGACTGTCTAGGCAGACAGATATCTTTGTCATTTCTAGTTTTGCAAGTTGTTTGCTCTGCACTTCCTGTTTACTCACATAATATTACATCCTTCTCAGGTCTCTAATGTAGTTGAAGACAAAATAGTTATAGTTTTCCTTGTTACCAAATTCAAAAAAGAAACTTATAGAATAGATGCAAAGTTTATAAGATTGAGAAACATAAAAGTCTAAATTATTTATCTAAGAAAATATTTTGAGGTTTAAAAATAATTTTGGGTTGGTAATACAAGTCAGGATAGGAAGCAAATTAGGAACAAAACTTTGGACTCACCAAGAATATAATAATAATGGAGTATTTTCTCTGAATTTGCCAAGTGCGAATGGGCAATCAAGAGCCAGAGAGAGAGCGCGAGCTCAGTGGATTGTGAGCTTGTTTGTAAATGCAATCCCTAGATTACACAGGTGGTAAGAGGGAACTGACTCCCAAAAGCTGTCCTCTTCTTTTCACATAGATGCCATGGCAGATGTATGTACACACACACACACATTCACCATATAAACAAAGATTTTAAAAGAAAATATGAAGCAAATTAGTAAACACAATACAAACAGAAGCAGGAAATTAATAAAGAGAAAACATTAAAAATACTGCACATGCCTTTAATCCCAGTACATAGAAGGCAGAAGGAGGCAGATCTCTTAGGCCAACCTGGTCTACTGGGTTCCAGCAAAGCCAGGGCAATATAGAGAAAACTAGTCACAATAAAAAAACAAAGAAACCAGAATTTGTAAACAAAGAAAAAAAACAGTGAGAAAAAAATAATATGATTCTTGGAAAGAATCAGTGAAATTGAAAAAAAGCTTTAATTTAGAATAGTTAAGAAAAAGAGAGAAAAGATCCAAACTGCAAAAACAGGAAATGAAGTGACATTATTACATCATTATAAACCTAAAATTCCTGCTTAAAGAAACCATAAAATTAAATCAGTGAAATGAATAGACAGAGTTACCTTAGGAGGAGTTAGAAATTCTCTTGTCTGCCCTGCTAATCACCTAGTGTTTGCAAAATTAAAACAGTCCATCCAAAGGCAAATGATATCTACTGAAACTACCACCCAAGAAACAAACTATACAGTTTAAAATCAGTCACATTAACCACCTATCAAAACAAAAGTATATTATACATTGGAGAATAATAGAATTCAGAATCTTATGTTTCAGGTATTATTTTGTGGGTTGGGAGCAAACCAGCAAGCAATACAAAAATACCCTCACTGACTATCAAATGCTTATCTTCTAATATGCAAGCAAGTATAATAAACATTAGTACATGTTTTGAGAAGCATAGAAGGAGTTATGATTAAACCCCCACTCTCAATAACTAGGCAAAACCCAAAAAAGTACAAGATTTAATGCCAGGTCTGAGTGTTTTACCTCTAGGTAAAATTCTGGAGATTACTTAACATGACACACTCCACTCAACAAACTACACGAAGCTCATTCATACAGTCGAAGCAGAATGGTAGGAGATGATATAGTGAGTTCAGCAGGACAAGGTGAATATAGAAACAAGCTAAGTAGACTGGCATTGATCCTAAAAGGAATGTGAAGCCTCTGAAATATTGTCAAACACAAAAATCATATATTTGAATTCTTTTCTTTAAAAAGTACTAGTCAAAGCTAAATAAACAAGAGACTTTAGAAAAAAGCATGGCTAAGGACAGATCTGTTAAGAAGAAATTTTAAAATGGTCATATTATAGAAAGAAAAAATTTTAAAATGGTCATACTATACAAAGCATCCTAAGATTCAATGCAATATCTACAAAAACTCCTTAATAATTTTTACTGAACTAAAGTCAAGAATCCTAAATTTCATACAGATAAAGATCCCCAAATAGACAAAGCAAACGTGAGTAGAAAGAGGAACAACCAGGAGCAGGCCTGGGATGATAAACTCCACAGTAGCAGGACTGAGCCAGCGACCTAGGCCAGAGCAGGTCTGAGTTGGGGAGCTCGACAGGAGTGGGGCTGAGCTACCTAGGCCAGAGCGGGCCTGAGACAGAAAGCTCCGCAGGAGCGGGAAGAGATCCAGACCAGGGACATTTGTATAGGAAGGACTGAGCCAGCAACCTGGGCAGGAGCAAGCACTGAACGGCAAACTCCACATGAGCAGGATTGAGCCAGGGACCTGGGCTGGAGTGGCCTTGGACGGTGAACTTTATGGGAGCAGCAACTGATCCAGACCAGGGACAGTTGCAGAAGGACTAGGTCAGCAACCTAGGCTAGAGCAGACGCTAAGAGAGACATACACAGATCTAATCTACATGGGAAGTAGTAAAAGACAAGATCTCCAGAGTAAATAAAGAGCATGGGGATCTTGGGAGAGGGCTTAAGGCGGGGAAGGTAGGGAGGGGAACAGCAAAAAATGTATAGCTCAATAAAATCAAGAAAGAAGGAAAGATAGAAAGAAAGTCAGCATACCACAGAATACTTCTAAATTTATGGATATAATGGCATTTTTCAGATTAGTCAAGTCATAGAATTAGCCTAGGTTGCCACTTGACAATGAATGGGTAAGAAAAATAGAGTAAGATTCAACCACAAGAAGAACTAAATCAAATCATTCACAAGAAAATGGATGAAACCAACGAATATTGTATTAAAAAAAAAAACAAAGAAACACGGCCTCTTGAAAAAGATAATTACCATCTTATACCTCACATATGGGATGTAGATGAAATTAAATGGAGAAGAGGAGCTGCAGAGAGTAGCAAAAGCAGAGGGGAGACCGGCAAATCTCTAGAGTTTACTGGCCAGCATTCTGTCTCAGAAGAAAAGATCAAGAGCACTAAGGAAGACATTCAATGTTGACATCTGGCCTATGAATGCACATGCACACTGCCATATGAATATATACATGCAACTCACCGCTCAACTAATATATTTAAGAAAAGGGAAGGGTTAGAACAATGTTTTAATAACTGTAGCTTCTTATTTCCACAGCAATATTCTATGCCTCTGTAAATATGTTCCTTAACATATACATCAACACTCTTGAGCAATGTGTTTTGTTTACCTACAAAATAGGAAGATTTTAAATTTAAGATAAGCTTTGATGTCTACATAAGCTTTGAAAAATAAATAGTTTTTATATTATAACAAAAAACCTAATGTTATTTTAAGAAATATGTTTTGTTTTCAGAAAATGGTTAGTTTTACACTTAGTGGTAACCATGTAATTTTTCCTTCCTTGTTTTAAAATGCAAATACCTACAACAGTAGGAAAAGAAGGAGGAACAAATGAGAACTCACTGTGATTTTTTTTCATAACAAATACTATTAAATAGATGCCCTAAAACTGATAGAAAACAGAAAGAACAAATGAAACACAGAAATGTTCAGAAAAAAGTAACAATATTTTATTTCAAGCTTACCTTGCTCCTAAATTTTCGATGGTTATATATTCATCCTTTCTCACCACTTCAAACTGCAAGTGATGGAGAAAAAAAGCCCTAAAATAGTTCAATTTTCAAAATTCTTTAAGTTCTTAACTTCCACATTTACAAAATGATACTTAGAATAAAAGCACATTGACTATAAAACAAATGACACAAGCTAAACAACATAAAACACCACTCAGAAGACAAATTACAGTTGCTCTTAAAAGCAGCCAATTTAACATTATCATGTGATTTGAATGCCGACACTGAAATATAAAAGAAACTTAAGATATAAAAGAACCATAAATAGCAAGACAAATAATAAGTTTCATTTATAGTTCTAGTTTTAATTCTGCTTATCTTAAACTAAAAATTTCAGATATTCTATGAATTAAAAACTATGTGTACTATGCTTTATTTAACAGGTAACAGATGTACATTAAACAGACATTAGATAGTTATTTAAAAACTAAATGGTTCAGGGCCTGGAGATAGAGCTTAGCAGTAAGGTATACTTTGAGCATGTTGAGGTCCTTTATTTAACTTGAAGTTCCACCAAAAGAGAGAAAGAGTCAGAAAGTCTAAATTTATTTTGAATTTAAATTGGAAAGAAGTAGTTAAATTATCATACTTTATCATTATTCCTCACCACTAGTTCACAGATGCTATATTTATCTATTTCTACTGTTTAAATTTTCTTATACTTAAAGATCATTTAATATACCAGATAAAACAGGAATAAAAAGGGCAGAGAGCTGAGTCACCAAAACTAGAATGTAGCTAGGATTCTGTTGTTATTGTTAAGAATATGCCAAAAATAGTACTACAAAGAAGGCAGGCAAGAAAAGTCACTCACCAAAATTTTGACAATTCCAGGTACATCGCATTGTAGCATCCTTACCATGTCACCTGCACATCCATCTTTCAAACATTTTTTCCCACTAAAACTCTAAAATCGTTCATAGAAAAACATAAAATTATAAAATCAGCATTGTACAAATCTAAGGCACTTAAGCAATGAAGGTTAGAAGCAGATAATGTTGTGTGACAAACTGAATGATATAAATAAATTAAAAGTGAGCTGTTCAGTTACAGGTTCAAAAACAGCTTTTACCCAACACCTCCACCCCGCCCCAAACACACACTTATACTTCCCTACAACACAACACTGTTAGAATATATGGACTTAATGTTTTTCCCAGGAAGAATTAGGTCTACATATTAATTAGAGCTTTGTTAAGTGACATGGTTACTGGCATGAAATAATGTCCATAAAAGAATGGGTAAAGGTGCCTCCAGGGTGTGTCAGCTGAGAGTAAGTGCATGTGTGGATAGTTGTTATTTAGTAATTCATGCATGACAAAACCTATTAAGATTTGTACAAAAATATAAGTACTATTTCTGGATAAGAATTCATAGTTTATTACTATTTTGATCTTGACTTTACTGTGCGACCTAAGTATGTACTACTCAGTAGAAATGACAGATAGTAAGAGATTTCAAATGTTTAAGTAGTCACTATATAAGCAGAGCAAGTGAAATGAGTTTTCAATCTTTATTTAAATAAAATCAAAGTTCCTATAAAAGAATTAGTGAGCTGTTCAATATATTTTTTATCAATATGTATGTTGTAACATTTTACTTTAATTTTTTAGATTCAAACTTTTTAAATTTGTTTTTAAAAAATTATTGAGGTATTCATTTTTCTCCACTCCCCTCCCTTCCTTACCTCTTTCTTTCTACTTTCTCCCTTAAGGAGCTATAATACAGCCTAAAGAATACAAGATAATCCTGAAAAGAAACTTTAAGTTTAAGCACAAAGTGTATTAAATTTCCATAAGCTACTTAAGGATTCTAGAGAAAAGGGAGTAATAAAAACAGTGAAGTTTCTGGCCCTGATCTTGCCATTTCCTCTGGTTAATTTCTATTTTCTCTACTTTTCTGTCTAATACTGAGAAAAACCAATTGTCCCGTCAAGTACATGGACTTAAAAGTATCTATATATCACGTTAATGCTTTATATGTTTTATTTTATTTTATTTTATTTTTTTTTTATTTTTCGAGACAGGGTTTCTCCGTAGCTTTTGGTTCCTGTCCTGGAACTAGCTCTTGTAGACCAGGCTGGCCTCGAACTCACAGACATGCCAGTTTATTGCCTTTATCTGCTCACTCCCCCACAAACCCTATGAAATATGTACACCTCTCTGTCATTTCAGAGCTGATAAATATTAGTCACAATGGTGTAGTTACCAGTCTAATATAATAAAACTGGAACTTGGTTCAAACTAGATTTGATCCCGAATCTGCCACCTCCAAGTCCAATGTTCTTTTCTACTGTACCACTATTGCTTAAGGGCATTTTTCTTGTTTACATGATGTAAAATTTGTAAAACTTAAAGTCACAAAATAACCATGGCAATAAAACGAATAATTAATACAGAAAAAAGCTCTGGATTTCACTTTAACACTAACTCTATCACGACTGACACGAGTATATCTGAACACTAACTCTTCTTCTCCTATTCCAACTTTCAAATTGAATTTACCCATAAAATATGAGTGTCAGGGAGACAAACACCAGACGGAACTGAAGGTGGAAAGGAGGAAAAAGTGAGTGTGAGCACAAAGAGAACACGGGGAAGGGAGTGACATGCTGTGCTGTGGGTGACAGTGCAATACCTCATCACTTTCTCCTGGATACTTTAAGTTCTTGAACTTTTTCCAACAAATTTTATGGAAGTAAACACAGCAACTTTTACTGCACATTAGCTGAAAAAATCCCTTGGAAAAATATAGATACAGAAATATAATTCATGTTAACATAGAAATACCATCTGAAGTCATTTTAAAATTCTATAACTTATAGATTATACTTTATTATAACACTGTTTTATACAACATTCAGAATTTATTAGCAAAGACTGTATATACCAAGCGAACTTCTGATACTGTAGAATTAATAAAGTCAGAAAAATAAGGACAATAAAAAAGGAGAGAAGGGCAATAATTTGAACTAGGCAATGTAAAATTTTCCATATTCTATGGTACAAGAAAATAACAAACACCATCAAATTTTTTTTTTTTTTTTTTTTGTGGAACACGCTATCTATGCATCCCCACTTTTACATTCCTCTTTTCCTCCAGCTCAGCCCACTTCTGTGCCATTATTCTGTGAATTCCTCTGTTAACCTCCCAGGAGACCTGGTGAAAGAATTCCAAGTCTGCTATATTTTCCAAGAATAAACTGTTGTACTCTCTCCAGGAACTTCTTTCTTTAAATAGGAATTCTCCTTAGATTACAATGGTCTCAACTATAAATAGAACTTTTGTTACTACATGACATTCATTTGGTTGAAATCCTGAAGCTACTCTAAACCATAGACTGACTTACCATAGCCCCAAAGACTTGAATACTACATCTCTCTGCCTGTCCTACTTGTGCAGAGAAACCCACAGCTGAGATGCTAGCCACTTTATTTCAGAAGCAGAATCTGGCATGTACTGAGAGTGATAGTTCTCACCTTGGTTCAGAGATTACAAGATCAAAGTGGCTCACATTCCTACTTTTACTCTTTCTTCACCCAAGGATTCACAGAGAGAGAGGGGGATCACTTATTTAGTAACATGAGCCCTGAGAATTGATCACTTCTAAGTATATATGCCACCTTTCCCAATTTCTACCATTTTTCATTATAAAGCAGAAGAAAATTTATCTTTTTATTATCTTACTTTTGAGAACTTCATAAGCACTGCATTTAACATCACTTTTGGCCTCCTCCCTCTCAAATTTATCTTTTTCTTATTATTGTACATATACACACATGTCTAAATGTATATTGTGTGCATATATATGCACATCTGTATAAACAAACTATTGGCTCAACTTAGTGTTGTTAGTCTGTATATGTATACAAGACTGACTGAATAATCTACGCTGCAGCTCCTCCTTGGAAGAAACTGATTGTCCCTTTCTCAGCAGGGAAGGGACCATGTGGAATTTTCCCTGTTTGCACTGGCAGGTCAACTTCTGTCATTATTAGGCAACCACATGTTAATATTCAAGGGTGTACTTTCCCTGTCAAGTGTAGGGAACACTATGTAGCTTCTGGGCTTCTGGCTCTTACAATCTTTTCACCTCTTATTTTTTTAATGATTTTACCTAAGTCTTAACTATTGGGGGTATGTGGCAGACATATCAGTTGGGGCTGGGTACTCCATAGTCACGTGTGTGTGTGTGTGCGTGTGTGTGTGTGTGTGTGTGTGTGTGTGTGTGTGTGTAAATGCTGCTATGTAACATTGGGTGATATTGCTCTCCACAAAAGCCACGCCTATCTGAAAAAAACCACAGAGACAGACAGAAGAAAGAAAACTCCCTCCCAGTTGTTGGTCAAAGGAATAGAAGAGTTCCCCCCAAAAATGCAAAAAATTGACATTTACTTTAGTTGACTTCCAGAGCTTTAAGATAAAGCCCTATTTCTGCAGACACCTCTAATTTCAGACACAGAATTTGGAGCAACGGAGCAAGAATTGACTTGGAAGCCTCCTCCCTAAATTCCGCTGTTCATGGTTACCAGAATGTACTATAAAAGCTGCTGAAGAAGAAGAGTAAACTCTAATGTTACTCAGCTATAAACCACAATGACGACCACACCATCAAGATATCCACAATGATGCAATGCTGGCAATATTACCTTAGGGGTAACCAAAAGCTGTCTATTGGATTTAAGGCCTACTCAGTGGGAGGGAACTCGTGCTTCGTACTAGAACCTAGCCAAATATTCTTGGCTGGAGAGGTAACACGCCCCAAAGGAGAACTGATCATTGTCATTTTCTAACTGTATAGCCAACATATAACCAATACAATATCTAACTATAGTCTAAATATTTATCCTTATTCCCACAGATAAGTGTAGCTCTTACCACTCATCAAAGAAGCTTCTTTTTGCAACAGAGATTATTTCAGAAATCCACAACTGGTCAAAATATAGAGAACAGATTATTTTACTGTATGAATGAAGGGCAAATAGCCATAACTTCAGAGGCAGGTGATTATTACAAAAACTTCAGCAAAACCAACCTATTCTTCTACTGATTCATAGAATATAATTAATATTGACTGTGAATACATGTTCTCAGAGACAAACTACTTCTTAATTATATCACATTATAATTAAAGTAAATACTGTTCTTTAATTTTTTTTCCACAGAGCAGGGACAAAATTCAGGAACCTGCACTTACCTCAGTAGAGCTCTGACAAAGAGCCACATCCTACACCTTACATAGTATTTTCATGTATATTGCTAAAATAATGTTAACTGTTTTATATTCTATGACATTTAAAATCGTTAAATGGTAATTATGTTACCTTATAGTTAGTGTTCTTTAAAATGTCAGCTTCACAAGAGCGCTCACAATCAAGATAACTGCAAATGGTCTGTTTCATTATATTACTTTCAGTTGTTTGGATAAAATTATTGAGAACATCCTAGAATTTAAAAACACATACTCTTGTGAATTATCTATAATAAATTAAGCCCGAAACATATCCAAGATTTACCTTAAGTAACATATGCAAGGATCCCATTTTAAATTACTCTGTGTTTGTGTATGCACATATGTATAATAGTAACACAACTTATTTATCCAGTCCAAAGTAAATAAATAGAAAAGCCCTAAACTAGGAAAAAATAGATATCTTACAGATAGAAAGTAGACAAGTCTATGTTTGAAACTCTATATCTCTTCCATATTCTAAGCCATGGTATGTTCTTATCAGGAACTGTATACATATTTATTTCAGAATTAGAGCCAATCAAGACACAATGACAGTGGAACTACTACAATGGTGCAATATGACAATTAAAGGCACAGTGGGCAGAAGAATGATACAGAAATATTTCTCCAATGCCAAGTCATAGCATGGAATAAATTTTCTCATTTTAAACTAGTTAACTTTAAGCAAATTATATTATATTATTTGAGTTAGACAAGTGCCTTAATACCTTTCAGAGAGAATATGTTATATCAAGTAGTAACAATATACTATGAATATATACAATATGAAAAGTAACCCTTTACAGGTTATTTAATGAACCATAACAACATATATAAATTTTACAAAAATCTGACAGAAGATATACCAAAATAACAACAACAACAAAACCAATAACAAAAAAAAAACTCAAAAAAGTAGTAATATTAGTGAATTAGTCTATTCATAGGGCAAAGACTATGATTAATAAGCATCAAAACAATAAAAAAATTGAGAATTTATCCTTAACAACTCTTAAAAAGAAAATGGAAAAAGTAAAATAGGTTACATGTAAAAAGCTAAAAATGAGACTAACATCAGATTTTTTTTAAAATAAGGTTAAAGGATAGAAAATAATGGAGAAAACAATGTAATGTGTTAAGCTGTTTGTCCTGTATTATGTTTGTACACCATTTGTGTAGATTCCCCATGGAGGGCAGAGATGGGGCACTCGATCCCCTGACTCTAGAGTTATAGATGGTTATGAACTGCTGTTGGGTCTAGGGATTAAATATGGGTCTTCTGGAAGAAGTGCCAGTGTTCTTAACCACTGAACAATCTCTCCACGCACCAGGAAAAATTTTTAATGATGGAAAAATTATTTGAACCTACAATTCTATGTCTAGGCAAGGCATATATAAAGTTCACAAAAATAGATTATTTTGAGAATTAAAAGATTTCAAAAAATTTATCTCCCTACTAAGCACTTAAGCTCGTATTGAAGTTACACCAGTCAAAACAACAAAGAAGGCCTAATGTGTAAAACTTCAGTTCTGAGACATAGAATATTACACAGAAAAGAGAAAGATAAAAGTCATCCCCAGGGAGAGGCCAATTTAACAAAATTCAGTAAAATGGGAGAAGTGTGTGCATGGGAGATGGGAGAGCATATGTATACTTAAAGGAGATGATATCTATATAAGAGAGCTCTCTAGTCCCACAACTGTTATACAGGAAGGGCAAGACAATACCTAAAAACATTTAAATACTAGGAAAGCTTTCAAGTAAGGAGGGGAAAAACGGCTATCTAAAGATCATAAATTAGAGATGCAGACAATGAAGCAAAAACTGGACTTTTAAGTCTTTAGTTTTTAATATTTTTCAATAAAATTGCCTCTATAAACTTCTTTGTATGAAATAAAGTGAAACTAAAAGTTTGAATAGTAAGGAAAATGGTTGAAGGGAGGAAAACAGTAAAAACATTAAAAAAAACAATTAGGGACTGTTTAGATAGGAACAAATATGAAAACTTTAAAAATATACAAAATTATTATTTAGTTAAGTCCATTAAAAGTCCTTTTTATCTTGACAGTGGCACAAAATAATCAGTCTACTGATTACTCATAAATGTATATTAAAATACATCATTCTGAATGGAAGTTTATAAAATTTATCCTTTCAATTCTGACAACTGAAACCTTCTATGCAATATGCCTCTTGATTTTCAGGGATGCTATTAGCTTTAAAGGCAAAATAAAATGTAATTATTCAAAAATATTTAAAGTAAAAGTTTAGTGAAAGATTTGCTCTTGAAATATCTACCAAGAGAAACATAGGGCTATTTCCACTTTAAACAAAGCAATTCAATGGCTTTGCAGTGGCTTCCCACAGGTCAGGGAACCCTGATTGCTCTTCGAGCAGATTGATCGGGGGAGGGGGAGGGAAATGGGAAGCGGTTGTGGGGACGAGGCAGAAATCCTTAATAAATAAATAAATTAAAAAAAAAAAAGAATATCATGCAAGAGAGGGTAGAAAGATTGTCAGAGGAAAAAAAAACTGTCAGAAGGTCTGGGGAGATAGAAGCTCTCATTCTTTATAATGAATATACACTCGTCTTCTGTACTAAGAGGAAGTAAAGAAACAACCATCAACACCTTTATCATGCAATAGCAGTGGCTTCATGAATCTACCATATAAATGTTATTCTAACAAAATGCTATCAGAATATACAAAGAGAATTTTATGTAAGAATGAAAAAACTGCAAAATTTTAGGTTAGACTATATGTTCAATAATACATACTAGTAGACACAGAGTAAAACTTGGTGTATTATACCAATTTTAATAAACATGCAGGAAATTATTAATGTGTACACCCATATGTATATAGAGAAGCAATTAAAAGGGAGAGAAGAATAATTTCTCCATTTGAATAAAAAGGAGTAAAATTAATTTTTCTTTATAGATAAAGGAGGTATTTTCTAACCAAATGATTTATTAATTTGAAAATTAAACAAAAAATAAAATAGCAAATACAATTATATAAAAAACTTAATTATTAAACATGTGTTTTTAAAAGACAAGTATTAGGCTAGTTAAGCTACTCGTCTTTGTATCTTGAAAATAGTGAAACTGATTCCTTTTTTTATCTAAATGTGCTCACATTCTGCACCAGGTAATAAAATTAAAGTTCTTTCTTACACACAAAAAATATTGCCAATAAAATAATGTATTATAGAATATTAGACACTTGATTTTAAGGTTACTTGGTAAAGATTACTTTGAATTGTCACAAGTTGTAAACTATTTTTAATAATTTCTTACTTTCAAAGTTGTACAAGTTGTGAACTATTTTTAATAATTTCTTACTTTGAAAGTTGTAGGGAAATCTTCATCATCTGTAGGATCTACGTCAAACCAATCATCATCTGTATCTCCTATTTCTCGCAAGCTTTTGTGAAATTCTAGTAGTCCTCCATTATACCTGCAAGGCAGTTTAAAGTAAATGTCAGTTTGAACTGGACTCAGGTGCTATATAGTTTATCAATGAGGGAACCAGAAACCCAACGAAGGTGGTGATAACCTCTGGCATGCTGTAGAAATACAAATACTAGGACTCTCACCTGTGGTAGACTGGGATGAAATACAGGTAGGAGGGGAGGCACTAGGTTATGTAGTAGCTCAAGCTTGAACAGTATGGGGGCCATGGTAATTAAAGGGGTTGTAGAGTTGGTTGGCTTTTGTTAACTGTCTTGGAGGCCTTGAAGAAAGAGAATGACAGGTATAGGTCAGCCAACTATAAGTTTAGCATGCACTTTGAAAGCCAGAAGGCCTCTAAGGCAGCATTTAAATTGATTCTCATTTCCTATACTCAATGTGTGCTGAAATTAAGGGTCAAATTTAATTAGAAGATAGGGCAAAATATAAAAGTAAACAAATGTACAAGCCTTGACAGGCCATTATCAAATCAGGACATTCTGTAAAAGCTAGAAGAATACTATGCTATGATAATTTAAAGAATTCTAACATTATATCATGTCAAAACTGAGGCCTGAATTTTATAATAAAAGGTAAAGCGCCTGCAATAAGACTTCAGGCCGAGCCTCAACGGGACTACTATTCTAAAATTAGGGGTTTGATAATGAATAAATAGACCTAGATATCTGAAATGAGAATACGTAAGTGAATGTGCTCAGAAATTGCAAGTGTATGAATTATTGTTTACCAATTTGACTAGGAAGGATTTCTTCTTCCTTGCTAGAATACAGCTGCCCGCCCCCCCTCCCCCATTATTTAGAGATCATTTAAAAATACCATCAGAGATGCATATCCCAAGAGAAGAAGACTATCTTTTTCAGATTTTTCTCTCTTCCCTCACTGCCCTTGGACCATGACAGCTAGGATCAGACATAATGGCCCAAGATGAAAATCAAAGACCAAGTCCAGGAAGAATAAAACACATATATATTCATCTAGTAATTGTCCAACATGACTGATATGAAAGAAACATGGAAGTAGATCCTAAGAATGTGAAACCAAGGAAAAACAGAAGCCTTAATGAGGAAGTGGATACGGATATAGGACAACTCACATACAAGTCATGATTCACTATTCTTTTTCTTGGGGGGGGGGGGGGTGAGACAAGGTTTCTCTGCGTAACAGCCCTAGCTGTACTAGAATTAACTCTTGTAAAGAAGGTTGTCCACAAACTCACAGAGATCCACCTGCCTCTGCCTCCTGAGTGCTGGGATTAAAGGTGTGCGCCACCACTGCCCATCTAATGATTCACTATTCTTGCAGGGACACCTGAGGCCAATCCTAACATGCTTTCAGAAACTTGATACAATTATGGTCAACAGTAAATGAGGTACAAAGGCTGGAAATTTCTTGGTATAGCATTAATAGAATCAGGAGGTTCAAAGGGTTCTAACAGGGTTGCTCTGTAAGAACACGGAACCTATCATTTTTTGGGAGTGTAAAAAGCCCTGAGTGAATTTGGTCATGATCCTGTCAAAGATCCTATAGCTACAGACTCAAAAGAATGGCAAAACCTTCCTTGGAGGACAAGTGTGAGTGCTGACCATTGCGTGTAGAAAATGTGCAACGTAGTTTTCTCCCTTTGGATGTTTACAGTCTAAAGAATGTTCCACCATAGAGACTACTCCTACTGACATTAGCTAAAGCTGTCTCCTTGATCCAGCTACATAAAAAACCCTTATGTCATTGATTATCTGAACTATTACTATTATGTAGTAACTCTACCTCCTTGTTCAGCTGTATGTAGTAATTCTGCTTCTTTGTTCAGATCTATATAATAAACATGCTTATTTTCCAGGGCTTTGTGGTTTCTCCAGCCAGGAGTACAGACCACCTGATCCCAGTTTTGGTCCATGTGTCTCCCTATTTTTTTTTTTATTCCCTCAATGCCTGAGTCATGTCTGTTCCTGGAGTTGGGCTGTATATAGCAATCACAGGCAATGTTCCTGGAAGAAACACTGACTAATGCACTAAGAAATATAAAGGGCATCATTAACTCTGATAAGCACCTCTATAGTCCAGGGAAGAAGAATGCATAGTCATGTTCCTTCTACTTGTTAGCTTTCAAGATCTACTATTTCTGCTACTCGACCAACAGTTTTTGTTTACTTTTATTTTATTCCAACATGAGTTGTATTGAACATTATAATTTTTGATAAGTTGGTTTGTTTAATCATGTGAGTCAAAACTACAACCAAAGTTTCTATAACCTACCATTTTTAAAGACAAAATGAACTTGTTGGAAAAACAGTTAAAATATAGAAAAATAACTTAGAAAGTGATGATTCTGCCATTTAAAGAGTTTTTTGTGTCAATGATATAGAAGACCAATCAAGAGAGAAGAAAAAGTAGTTTGCCTTTCTCAGGAAAGGTACACATCTTTGTATTGATTTATGTTAAGTATCTGACTATCATAAATTCCATTTGGATCTTTACATTCTGCAATGCATCATACTAACACTGGGACACTGATGACGTCATTCTAGCCAGACTCAGTGACTAGGAAGTGGGAAGACTCTGATTTTCCAGCACAAGAGCCATGCCAGAGGATAGAAACTAAATCCGAAACAGAATAAACCACTATCTACATGGTAGTTTTAGGTCTGCAATGACTCTTGCCAGCAGCATTCCCGTTATCCCTTATATATCAGCCAACAATTATATCTCTAGACTTTTGCTGATTTTCTAGATCATTTTGGAGTACCAATAAGTAATGAATTACTCTGTTTTCTTAAACATATTTCATTCTTCATTACTGGGTATTTTGAATAATTACTTGATTAACCTACATGTTTCACAATACTTTTAGTTCTATATCATGTTTTATAAAGTACTGTATCCCTAGGACCAAGCACAATCCTTGGATAGATGCTTAAGATAAATCAAATAAATGATTGATGCTACAAAAGCTACGAATAGCCATAGAGGAAGTGAAGAAAGAATTTGCATTGGTTTCTCTATAATTTCACCTTCCTAAAATATGTAATACCTAGCATTCTCAACACTCAGAACTTGAACCTTTCAACTTGCTTGTTTTCATTTGTTTGCTTTAAGTTGTTAGCAGAGAGTATCACTCTATGGCCTAGGCTGACCTTGAACTCATTATCCTATTGCTTCTGTCTTCTTATTGCAGGGATTAGACATGCAAACTCCCTTCTAATTCTGTTTCAGGTCACTTATACTTAAAAATCTCAGTGGTGAGAATGTCAGTAACTACAATTATCAATTATCATGAACTAGGCACTGTTATTCACCACATAAAATTTTTATGATATAGATATTAATCTTGTTACATTTTAGATATCAGAAAAATCAGGCTTAGCAAAACTAAGTTTCTTAGGGTAAGTGGTAGAAAAAATGTATCTGAATCCAGGTCATCATATTCTAAGCCCATATTACTAACATTGATGATGGGCTGCTTCACACTGCCAAGGCCTGTTAGGTTCCACACTAAGTATTACCAAGCAAATGGAATTATTAACTACCAGGAATTAGAAAGAAGAAAAGAAAACTCTGAGACTATAGATTTTATGAACAATGGTATCCAGTGCAAATGTGATTCCTACTTCACAATAATGAAAGGCAACCAGTGAAGATACACCTAAAGAAAATGCTTACCTCTTCTGAGCGCATCGAAGTAAACCACGCCCAAAATAAGCTAAAGTCATAAAGTTTTCACAAATTTCATTTTCTTGGATCACCATCTTCATCACTAGAAATTTATTTTCAGCTTCTATGAAGTCCTGTAGTGACACAATAGATTTGGTTGGCTGTGTAAAACATGCCGTTTTCCTTTACATTAGATATTCATTCCGCAACTAGAAAATTTAGAACACATTTAAGAATTCAGACTGGAGAGATGGCGAAGAAGTTAAGAAAAGAATAATGATGCAATCATCTGATTATGTATGTGCTAATATCCATAATTTTGACATATCTGAAATTGATTATAAAGATGAGTTACATTTAACATAGCTAACAAACAGAAAAACATAACTAGATTTTTAACCATTTCAAAGGGAAATTGTGACAATTTTTTAATATAAAATGGTACAAAATTGTCTGCCAAATAAAAGCAGGTATAACCACTATCAGAATGTAATAATTTTTTTTTTTTAAATTCTCATCAGAGAATAATATGTTGAGCTTTTCAAAATGAAAGTGGGTGACTCCTGACCATAGGTATAGTTTCTTCTAAGGAGAAAAACACAATATAGACTTGCAATTAAAGATTAGAATTAGTTCTAACAATAGATGCCTCAGTTGCATGTGTGTGTGATAAAATTTAGTAAAGAGCAAGGACTGGTAAAAAGCAAAGATAAAGGCTATCAAGGCTGCAAAAAATAAGACAAACAATTAAAAGAAAAGGAAGATTTCTAGTTAATGTCCGGATTTCTATTCAATTGGTTTCACTTTAATTTGGCAAAATAAAAAATTGAGGTAAAACTCTTAATTCATCAGAGTAAGATTAAGAAAAAGAGACTAAGCTGCATTTGAAACAGATTAATATATATTACTAAGTATAAAAATAAGAATCATTTAACAGACAAAAATAGCCTCAAGATAGATATTTTAAATATAAACTAATATTAAGTTCCCCTTTATTTCAAATTACAACATAAGTCTTCAACATTATTATTATTTATTTAATATAAATATAAGACAGAAAACTTACAGAATGTCTTCAATTTCAAATGTTTTTTATTTTTGGATCAGCAGTTTCAACTGCTACAGTTAAGCTAAAGAGTATAAAAGATTTATAAGGTAAGTAATATATGCTACATACCTCTTTCTTTCGTCTTTCAGTGAGTGCTACTCCATACAAAAACAGTAATGTCAAGTAATAATCAATATTAATTTGGTGTACCTACAAAAATATGTTAATTGGTTATTTACACCTTGTTACTTTTCAGTTTGACAGAGATACTTAGAAGTCCTTGACCTATTTAATAATTACTAAAAATAGTGCAAATTTTCATTTTATTATTCATTATTTGCTAATAACCATAGAAATGCATGTTATTTTCATTTGGTAAAATTGTCCACAAAAAAAACTTGATTAAAGATAAAAGCAAATTCAATTAAAATTTATTACATTTAGCCTTTCAAAAAATATTTTCTTTTTTTTAAATAATGTTACATTCTAGTTATTAAAAAACCCCTATAAGACACTAAGGCAAACAAATAAAAAACGCAGTGCCAGGAATGAGTTATTTTTTTCCATGTTGTTGGTGAATGAGTTCTTATAGATCCCTATGCATTATAGGCATTGCCACTGCTATTGGTTATTCTCCAGAATGTTATGGTATTGTTGAAGACACAATATGTAACAGATGTTAAGTAGCAGAGAATGGAGATATCAAGCTGTACTGACCTAGAAACTTCTTTCAAAGTTGTGGGAGGTGTTGTACACACTACTGGAGGAGAAAGTAATTATTAATGTTTCCTATGTGTGAATTCTATGAACTACTACAATGTCTGGCATGGCAAGACAATACCTACTAGTGCAATGGTGGCATGGGCATCATGTAAGTAACCAACAACTTTCCTACTGGATTTAAGTTCTGCTCCATAAGATAAAATCTATCTCTGGCACCACAGGCTAGATAGACTTGTGACTAGATAGGTCTCAGGCCCTACTACTGTTACACTCCTAAATGGACAGTATTAAAAGAACTCCTAATGAACTATCATAATAATCATAATTTAATGCATCTTTCAACCTTCATCAAAGAAAACTTGTATCTGCAGTAGATGGTGATTAGCACAAAGATCTACAATGGGCCAAAGTGCAAAGAAGAAGAGACTGTGGGATGCTCAGCACTAAAGGGGGCATCTATATTAAATTCCCTTCTCCTAAGATTCCAGGATCTCTGTGAGCAGAGCAGAAAGACTCTAGAGACAGAGGTAGTTGATGAATAAAAGGAGTAGCGCTCTGCAGAGACAATAGGGCACCATAACAGCAAAAGAGGCTAATAAGTCAGGAAAAGGAGAGATTAGGGTTTTTTCTTTCTTCACATTGACAAATGTCCACATATTTATTTATACAACAATATTTGAATTACATATACATTGTATAATGACTACATCAAGACCACTTATATATGAATGGCTTTATATACTTACCACTTTGTGGTAAAAATTTATAATCTCAATATTCTTAAAAATTCAATATGTTGCTATTAACTATAATCATAACAAGGTATAACAGCTCTCTTAAAGCATTCTCCCTCACAACTAAATGAATTTTATATAATTTGACCAACATCTTTCAATTCTTCCCCTGTACCCTACCTTGATGACCATCACCTTATTCTCTGTTCAACATTTTTGGACTCCTTATGTAGTTACATTTCTGCGTCTGAATCATTTTCTGAAGTTCATTACTGTTTATAAACTGGAATGCCCAGTTCCACTATTCAAGTGTCTTTTAATCTAAGAAAATACAAATAGGCACATGTTGCTGTTCTCTCATTTCAAACATTCAATATAAAATACTCACAGTACAATTAGAAGCTTGAATGTTTCTAAGTGCTGTTTCCAGTTGTGTTATCAAAAACTGTAATGTTAAAGCAGGAACAATTTCTTCCCCAGTCTGGCTATTAGATGAAACTTCCCTCTGTGGAGAATAAGTGAGGTGAAAATGTCTTTAAGTTAGGATTTCTAACATATTATACAAAAAGTGTATAATCCTTCCTTGTTAGAGACAAGTATTTTTTAAATTACCTTAGCAATATACACTAGTTACATATTTATTATGCTAATATTAACTAGTCTGATTAATCTCCTCAGTAGGTATTTCCTTAAAAATTCCAAATGAATAAATAAATAAATAATTTTTTTCTCCTTGTCTTATTAAGTCAGCAACATGTTTTACTACTTTAGAGAAAAGTCCAATCCCACTTTCTTCTAACCCCTTCTATTTTCTAGCACAGGTAAACATTCTTTGTCTGAGATACTAGGAGAGCTTTCAGTAGCCTGACATCTAGAGAACACAGAGTGAGTGCACGGCTAAGCAAGAAAGGAGGCTAAGGTTAGCATCCTACTCTCAGAAGTTCAGCTTCTGATGTGGACAGATACTGACAGCTCTGCTCTCAAGAAAGGAGGCTAAGGTTAGCATCCCACTCTCAGAAAGTTCAGCTTCTGATGTGGACAGAACACTGACAGCCTCTGCTCTCTGCGTCTATTTTCTACATGCTCAACTGATAATTATAAAATCAAAATACAGCCATGCATTGCCCTCCATGCCTTTAATCACAATACTCAGAAGGCCGAGTTGGGTAAATCTCTGTGAGTTGGAGATGTGTCTGGTCTACATACAGAGTACCTCAACAGTTGGGGCTAAATAGTGAGATCTTGTGTAAAAAACACAAATACCAAAAAAGAATAATGTATTTTTTTTTAACTATGGCAAATTTCACTACATCCTACAAAAACAAATATTCTGCCAATATTTAATTCTTTGTGTAAAAATTAACATCAACCTTATTAGTATACAAATTTGCTATTGTCTTTAATAAATGTCAAATTACGTCTATACAAAATAAATTTCCTATGTTTTATTGGTAGTAACTGTTTGATGTGTATATTATATACTGGGGTGATGTAAAAAATTCTCAGATGAAAAATGATCAAAAGAAGAAAGATTCTTTAATGCCCCAATCTACTAAACATTCTGTATGAATTAATTTTATCAACAAATACAAATATTTAGATATTGTATTTTTTTTAAAAAAAACTTGTCAATATTTTTCAAATTAGGAAAACAAAAAACAAAGTAGTCCCTTGCCAGAAGTGTCACATTTATATTATTGTTGAATCATAATCAACACTAAGCTTTATTGTTTACTACAAAATCCTATGTTCCCTACGATGACTTTTAAATCTTTTGGTAATAAGTCCATAGTCAAAGTTGACAGCAAACCTTTGATATGTATCAGATGGAGATTTTAAGACTCTGATTACACCATCTAGCTTTAAAAGTCATACATTGATGTGCATCTGCACTATGGAGAAATAATGATGTTACCTGAAGAGTCTGGAAGGAGAAGTCTTCTTGTATGAACTTTTCAACATTAGGGACCACACCTTTGGGTAGAGCACTGATTGCATTTAATAGCTTCTGTATTTCTAATAATGGGTTAAGAGGGTCAAGATCTGTAGGTATATCCTTTTTCTCTTTGTCCTACAAGACATTTAATTTATTAAAATACACATAACACAGTTTCATTTATTCTAGTGACAAAAATCACCAAAGCATTAAAAAGGGGGCAAAGTTCTTTCACATATAGATGTGAAGTGTCAAACCATAAAATGTATGAATATAGAGGTGAAGTATCAAACCATAAAATGTACGAATAAGACCGTTTCTGCTTCCCCAAAACTTATATTATACAGATCGTTCTAAGTAGGAAAACTATTGTTTTTTAAATGATATGATGATCTTTCAGCTTCTTTCTAGACCATGAATTAAATGGCTTAAGTTTCAAAACTATATTAAAAACAAAGAGAAAGACTTTTTTCAACTTAGAACTGATCAATTATTAATAATTTTATTTACAGACTTAATATAGTCATCATTAATAGTTAACTAATAAGTAAACAGCCAAACCCTGATAGATATTTACTAACTATAGTTGTGAAGAACCAGTGGAGAACAGAGATAGACAAAGAGACAGAGCTAACAAATGGCAGTTCTTCACAAGGGAAACTTCGAGAATATGGTGTCATGGTTAGTTTCTAAAAATCAGAACAAAAAGCTTATTACAGACCTAGAAAGAGCTTAGTTACTAAAAATGCCCAAGTGTGAGATACTTAATTCTTGGATTCTTAGCAAAACAATAATTAGACAGAAAAGCAATTAAGAATAAATAAAGTCCACTATGACACTGTCTATACTCTCTCTTGTAGGGCTGAGTCTCACAATTATTATTCCATCCTTAGCCATTATGAAGAACTGATCCATCTTATATTTTACAGTACTTCATGAATGACAACTACATCCAATGTCTTTTAAAAATAAGGTTAGAAACTGCCAAATATCTGTTACAGAATCTTTTACTTGAAATTTTCAAAAAGTTTTTTTTAAAGCCCACAAAAGAGCTTTAAAAATCTTACAAGGAATAATTATCACCTGTGGTAAAATTATGTCAAATTAAAGATCAATTCTATCAGCAGAAGTTACTAAGGAATCTGATACGGTTAACACATTTATACATAGACATGATTATGACATGAATAAATACTTCTTAAGAAAATGTCATGGATGTTAAATATTTATGTTATGTTAATTTTAACATTTTAAATTTTGTTGTCAAAATATTTTATGCCTGATTATTTTAAGAAAGTTTATTTAACATATAATCCAAATTGAGGTTGTAGTGTATGGTGTTTTGAATGATAATGGTTCCCAAGCTTCATGTATTTGAATATTCCAGTTTGTGGAACTGTTTGGGAAAAATTAAGAGGTGTAGCCTTGTTGGAAGTGATGTGCCACTCTCTGCTACCTGGTTCTGACGCAAAATGTAAACTCTCTAATTCTGGCAGCCTGCCATTCTTCCTGCCATAATGGTCATGGACTCACCTAGGAAACTCTGGCCCTCATTAAATGCTTTCTTTTTTATGTTGCCTAGGTTACAATGACTTATCACAAAAATAAGAAAGACACAGTGTCTAACTTTTCTTAATTTTATAGTCCTAATATTTATTTAAAAATGCTTTTTCTGGATCTAATAACCCTGGTTCCTGCCTTTACTCAACTGTATAACCTGTGTATACTGGAACATATTATAACTATTCTGAAATATTTTCTAGTGATAAACTCATGCTATAATGGGTATTTTCCTAATATGTTACTATAAAACCTTCCAAAGAATTGCTAGAAGTAAAACCAAAAAGATTAAATAAATAAATAAATAATAAAAAATTTTTTAAAAAGCATGCATTCCCTTTATGTATGTATGGGCACTGTGTGTGTCTGATGTATACAAAGGAAAGAATTGAGCATGAGATCTTCTAGAACTGAAGTTACAGACAGTTGTGAATTTCCACATGAGTCCTGAAACTGGATTTATACCCTTGCAAGACTATCAAGTGTTCATAACCATTAGGCCATCTCTCCAGTCTTTCATGCTTTAAATATGTAACTCAGGCTCATTATCTTCCACTTACAAGTTCTAACATTAAAGATAATAAAATGAAGAGAATTAGTTTCAGAAATAAGCCAATAAAACTTTTTGATAAAATTCTGGATGTGTCTTTTCCTTCACACACACACACACACACACACACACACACACACACACACTCACACACTCACCCCCCCCAACACACACACAGCTTGATTTTGTTTGAATTCTCCTTCTCATAGATAAATGAGGTTAGGAGGTTATACAGTCCTTGCCTAGTATAATTGCATCCATAGTATTACAAAGAAAAAAACATTAACAAATGAAACATGATTGTTCAGATGTTTCTGGATAAGTTCAATTTTCAATGGATTTAAACTGCTCATGAGGATTAGAATATCCTTCACATACATCAGCAATCATCCAAGAATGACTTAAGAATGAACAACTGACTTTTTCAGAAAATGACTTACTAAAAATTTTATAACTAGACTTTTAATTGTATCTTCATGTACAATTCAATCAACTCATTAATAATTTATTAGGTGTTAATTAAAGATAATTTTCTCTTACCAGTTGACTGGCTGGTTTCTCTACATTATTTTCAGTTTCTTCCTTGGTTTGCTCCTCCACATCAGGATTTTCACTTTAAATTTAAAAAAAAAAAAGTGAGTTAAGAACATCTCTCAAAGATCATAAATTATAGCAGTAAAGAATCAAAGCATAGAATCATCTCAAAGTTTAAAGTATCACAAATGTCTATCAAAGACTGAAGTGGGAATAGGTACCACATCTCTTTGGAGGCTCAAGTTAAAGAAATGCTACGGTAGAGAAACCAGTAAAGTTGTATAATCAACTCCTTACACTTATCAAATGCACAACAGTCAAAAATATGGGAGAAAACCTTATTAAAAGAGCTGGGAGATGGCTCAATGGGTAATATGCTTGCGCTGCAAGATTAAGGACCTAAATTCAGATTCCTAGTAATTAAGTCACACGTCAGGCATCACAGTACACTCCTATAACCAATGTAGCTGCGGTAGGTGGTGGGGTACCGCCCCCTGGTCAGTCAGAAGGGTAGAAAGAGAAACTGCAGATTCAGTGAGAGATGCTGCCTCCAAACAGGGAAGACAATGATAGAGGAAGACATCTAACACTGATCTCTGTCTTCACATACTTCAGCAAGGTGGAGTGTATAGATACACCACACACACACTGATACACCATCCACAAAGTTATAGCATTATTTCAAGGTGAAAAAAGTCTTTAAAAAGGATGACTTTGGTTTTGTGTGAGGGTATGTATGCAAATAAGAAAGGTTAGGAAGATATATATATGTGTGTGTGTGTGTGTGTGTGTGTGTGTGTATATATGCACATATGTGTATGCATATACATAATAGAAAGAAACACATGCATGTGTAGATACATGTGTCTATGCATACACATACAAAACACAATAAAAGTACCTATTTTGTTGGGGTGTTAGTATATTTTTTGAGTTTTAAAAAAATACATTTATTTTCCCAGCTCCTCCTCACCTCCCTACCCAACCACAATTACATTCTTTTTCTCTCTCAAAAACAAAACAAAAATCAAAACAAACAAACAAAAAAAGCAGTAAGACAAAAATATAAAAACTACACAAAAACAAAAAAAGGGAATTGGTTTGGTGTCAACCAATTGCTCCCGGGCATGGGGCCTGCCTTGAAAATACAAATACATTTTGAAACCAAGTCTAGGCTGGCTTAGGACCTCTAAACCTCCTGCCTAACCTTAAAACACTGAAATAACAATAATATAATAAATTATATGCCATAATGACAAAATTTTTAAAAATCTCATATACATAATTTTATTGTTGGTTAAAAACTGAATTTCAAATTGTCCAATTTTCCTAAATACATTAATTGAGGGAGCATATCATATTTAGAAATTATGAGTTGTTTTGGTATCAAGATATAATCTGACAGCTTTTACTTTTAATATTTATTCCAATATTAACATATGCAGTATTACATAATCATCTAAAAGATGTATAAAATTGTTTTGTAGCATCATATAGGAACTATAATATAGGATCATATATAAATTATGTGCTCTTAATAATTAAACAGTGGCACATAAAATATTGAGGTGACAATGATTTATATACAATTATACTTTATAAAATACGATTTTATATTTATGTGTGCATCTGACAATAATTTATCATTTATTATGTATAAGCTGATTTCATCAGGGGAAACTGAGAAAAACTATGAAACAATTCTAAAATATGGCTCTCAGGGCACTCATCATGTCTAAGATAAGTCTACTAACTCTCTTCTCTAATCTCATACTATCCTACCAACCTCTTATCTAGGAATGAATGCAGCAGTATTCCAAAATCTTTCAAGGTTTGAGGAAACGCAATATGTTCTCCAGTAAATACTTGATAACTCCATTTCATGATCACTCACTCTTTAATAGTTACTACTCCCAGATGCATATTAAAATCAGTCATGACAGTTTGGAAATATCCAGATGCCCAAACCTGTCTTGGGCTAATCTTATATCAACTTCACAGACACACAAGAATTATCTGAAAAGAGGGAACCTTAACTGAGAAAATATCTCCATAAGATCTTGCTGTAAGGCATCTTATTAATTAGTTATTGATGGAAGGGGGCCCAGACTACTGTGGGTGGTTCCATCCCTGGGATGGTGGTACTAGGTTCTATAAGAAAGCAGGATGAGCAAGTCAGAGGAAGAAAGCCAGTAAGCAGCACTCCTTCATAGCTTCTGTATCAGGTCCTACCTCCAGAATCCTTCCCTGTTTGAGTTACTGAGCTGACTCAGTAAGACACAGTGCTGTGAAGTATAAGCTGAATAAATGCTTTCCTCCCAAACTTGCTTTTTGCTCATGGTGTTTTGTTGCACAATAGAAACCCTAAGACACTGGCTTAAGAGCTTCTGATACAAGTATTAGTTGCTATATTTTCTCCAGCTTCCAGAGTAAAATTAAGTACATAATCCCAATTAGTTTTCATCTCCTCCTTTACACAACACAAAAACCTCTATATAGAAAAGTACAAATCTTCCAGAAAAAGTACATTCACTTAGCATGTTAGTTCTTAAGTGCATTCACTTTTCTGGTTTTGTATGTGTTTGTGGTACTAGGATTGAACTCGTAATTGAGAATCAGCTGGGCAAGTGCTCCACTACTGAACTACATCATCATCTTTCAGGGCCAAGCTAAATAAATTTCCCAGTCTTACTTCAAACTTGACAACCTATTACCTTAGATTCCTATTAGCTACAATTAGAGGCATATACAACCAACTTAGGTTCTTAACCACATTTTTTGCTCTTTCCAATTCAAATGATCATCTATTCTCCCCAGCTTCTACAATCATCAAATGTTTCTCATCTTCTAATAAGCAGTTCTATGTCCATTTGGTAAAAACTCAATGGCCAATTATTATTTATTCCCACAATATCTGTGATATTATACTCATATACTTTGCCTAGGGATATACATCTTATATATGTTCCGACTACATCAGAAGGTCTACTTACAAAGTCCTTTTCTTGGGTCTTGATCTTCAAGTACCAAGGAATCAATAAAACATAAAACAAAACCCACTAAAATAAAAGACAATTTATACTTAGTCAATTGAAGTGCCTGTTAAAACATTATTTTTGTTAAAAACAAACAAAAAAATGTCCCAAGTGGGGGACTGGAGAGAGGGACTGGTGGTTAAAAAATGGTTAACATGAATTGGTTGCTCATCTAAAGGACCGAATTTTGATCCCCAACACCCACATTGTGGCTCATATCTGCTAACTCCAGTCCCAGTGGATCGGATGCCCTCTTCTGGCTTCTTCTTATACTGTGCATGAGCGCGCGCGCACACACACACACACACACACACACACACACACACACACACACAGAGCCATACAAATACATGTAAGCAAAACACCTAAAAAAAAATTTTAAGTGATGACTATGTACCTTGAAAAGAAATGCCTCCAAGTATGGAACACTGTTTGATATTTTGTTCTTTAAAAGTGGATTTCACTTAAGTCTACAATTCACACCAATCAAAAGTGTTAAATTGCCTTGAAGCTTAGTGACATTTAATTCAGAATAGTTTCCGAAGTTTATGGAGAAAAGTCTTATGTTGTAACACCTTTGGAATACAATAGCTGCAGTTGGTTGTGTTAACCCATTCCTTACCTCACAAATAATTCTTCTGTTAGGGAATCCATGTTACAAAATGATCCTTTACAAAACTTATTCCAATGCTTGCAAGCAGACTTTTACTACGGGCATTTAACTCTGTAAGAAAAATAATATTTTTAAAAGGAGGATACAAAATGTTTCTTTCTCCCCTGTACAGACAAGTACATGGTTATTTTTTAAATTTCTTGATGTTGCCATAAAAGAATAATAGCTTCAGCATTCAAATATATTTGCCATCTAGAATTTACACTTTTCTGGGCACAGGAATATTTTATCAGTCTACAATCATATTGCAATAGTTTCTTTCTTGTAGTACTAAATGCTGTGTTAAAATCACCTTTCACAGTATTTTAGTCTCTGATATTATACAATATGTGCCTCATTGTGTTTTGTTTGCTGTTCTGTGAGTTGTGCTTAGAACCTTGTGTGTACTGGACAAGCACTAAGTCAGCTAGATCCCTGACCCTATTTGATATTTGTTTTACTTCTATTGGTTCTTTGAGAATTTTTGATAGCACGCTTTGATCATATTCATGTGCAAAATATTCCCAGATCGCTAGTATTTTTCTACACATTCAACTTTGAGTGTTTTTTCAAAATCTTATTAAGACCAGTTTGTATTGCTCAAATAATCATGGATGAGGCACAAGATCACTCTAAACTGCCCAAGCTAGCTTCAATTCCCCACATAGGATAAGCAGTACTTGAATTATAAAGCTCCTTTTTATTAGAGTTTTCTTTCCATTTGATTAGGGTTTTCTTAACCATTTTCTTACAACATAGAACTAGATTTTCCATTTTTCCATCATAAGTTATTCCACAAACTCTACTGATTTCAAACACTTTTATTATATTATTAGTATTTCCTTACAATAAGTTCAAAGTAGAATTGCTGCATCAAAAGATACATTATTTGGTTCACTTATGCATACTGTCAAATGCTTCCTATAGAAGCATGTCAGTTCCTGCTCAATTATAATACTAACAGTAGTGAACATTCTTTCTTTTCAGTACAAAAATGCTACTTTCCTCCCCAAACCATATAACTGCAGTTCCATAAAATACGATGTGAGATATAAGCTCTTGCATATTCGCCAGCTCAAATATCCAAAAAAATTCATACATACACTTTTCTTCTCCCCTCACCCCCCCCCTTTAAAACATAGGGTCTCACTGTGTAGTCCTATAACTTACCATGTAGACCAGGTTGGCCCTGAACTCAACTCCTGCCTCTGCCTCTAGAGTGCTGGAATTAAGGGCATGGGCCACCACCACCCAGCTAAGATTGATGAAAATAGCTTTTAAAGGCCTTTAAGAATATGCAAGTTTCACATCAACCAAGAAAATATATGCCACAAGATTCATCTATTAAGGTCATTTCAGGTTCCCTATCCTCAGCTGCCCAAGGAACTAACTGGGGACATCGCCTTGGGCACCTGGGAGCCATTCTAGGTTCAAGTCTCTTGCCAACCCTAAGGTGGCTCCCTTAACTAAGATATGTGCTTCCCTGCTCCCCTATCCAACCTTCCTTTATCCCAATCATCCTGTTTCCCCAAGTTCCCCCATCCTCCCCTTCTCCCCTTACCCCCATCCCACCCCACCCCCAAAATCCCAATTTTTTGCCCGGCAATTTTGTCTACTTCCCATAGCTAGGAGTTTAACTATATGTTTTTCTTTGGGTTCACCTTCTTATTTAGCTTCTTTAGGATCACAGATTATAGACTCCGTGACCTTTATTTATGGCTAGAAACCAATTATGAGTGAGTATATCCATGTTCATCTTTTTGGGTCTGGGTTACCTCACTCAGGATAGTGTTTTCTATTTCCATCCATTTGCATGCAAAATTCGAGAAGTCATTGTTTTTTACCGCAGCGAAATGACCCTATCCTATAGCAATACTGATGAATATCTTGCATATCACCATAGAACCTTCATCTGGCGATGGATGGAGATAGAGACAGAGACCCACACTGGAGCACCGAACTGAGCTCCCAAGGTCCCAATGAGGAGCAGAAGGAGGGAGAACATGAGCAAAGAAGTCAGGACCACGAGGGGTGCACCCACCCACTGAGACAGTGGGGCTGATCTATTGGGAGCTCACCAAGGTCAGCTGGACTGTGACTGAAAAAGCATGGGATAAAACCGGACTCTCTGAACATGGCGGACAATGAGGGCTGATGAGAAGCCAAGGACAATGGCACGGGGTTTTGATCCTACTTCATGTTCTGGCTTTGTGGGAGCCTAGCCAGTTTGGATGTTCACCTTCCTAGACATGGACGGAGGGGGGAGGACCTTGGACTTTCCACAGGGCAGGGAACCCTGACTGCTCTTTGGACTGGAGAGGGAGGGGGAGATGAGTGGGGGGAGGGGAGAAGGGTGGGAGGAGGGGGAGGGAAATGAGAGGCTGGGAGGAGGCGGAAACTTTTTTCTCAAGAAAAAATTAAAAAAAAAGATTCATCTATTAAGAAACAGATGGTATTTAAAAAACATTGTCTTTATGATAAAGAGAACTTAAGGATCAAACCCTTGTCTTAAGGTATGAGGATCTACCTACTAATGAACTTAAAACAGGAGGTGGTAAACCACCCTGGTACAAGGGCCATAAGTTCTACAGGGATCATTGCAAAGTAGACATGTCCTACGAAAGTGTGACACCCCCAATAATCTATACTGACTGTGACTGCAAAGTAACACATATAGATTAGAACTGTAAAAGTAACGCAACAATTTGACACCACTCAGACACAAACGCAAAGACGCATGCAGACGAGAGGAGAACGTTCTTTGAATTTCCTCATTAGAAGCAGAGAGCTTTTTTAACACCTCTCATTTCTTGCCATGTATCAGCTTTAGTATTTACTATGCAGAATTCTCTGTGGTAAATTATTTTATCTTATAGTTTTACCAAGTAAGTAAAATCATAATCAGTCACACTAAATGTGTATTACTAACAAAATACATAAGCAACAGCTAATAATGAAAACAGAGAGAGGATGAGTAATTTTCCATACTGACCAGATCTACATCATATCATAAATAAAAATACAGCTTTGGGAATTTTGTGATTCTGTGAATTATTTTTCTTTTTGGTCCTATAAATGAAAAAGGAACCATCAATAAAACATTATTTCACAATTATAACACAGATACATGTTTGCCTTTTCTGGATATCCCAGATTTATTAAAGTTCAGACATGGAGACCTTGTTCTCAGGAAGGTCTCCTTTAACTAAATTAAAATTTCCTGTGAAGATCATAGGATATACATAAGGATGAAAATCTGGATACAAGGTAAAAGGCAGAAGTACTCTCTAAGCTGTTCTGTATTAAGATGAAAAGGGGTAAAAAGTTAATAAATCAAAAGACATTTATATACTGAATTGATATTTAAGACAGGTCAGTAGCTTTTCTGCCTGTTTAAAATACAACACGAGACAAATCTGTATAAGGAAATTTCCAAGAACGCGGATTATCAATATTATTATTCCCTAGTGATGGAGGAAGGTCATTGGCTAATAAAGAAACTGCCTTGGCCCATTTGATAGGTCCACCTTTCGGTGGGTGGAGTAAACAGAACAGAATGCTTGGAGGAAGAGGAAGTGAGTTCAGACTCTATAGCTCTCCTCTCTGGGGCAGATACGATGAAGCTCTGACCCCGGATGGACGTAGGCTAGAATCTTCCCAGTAAGTGCACCTCGGTGCTACACACATTAATAGAAATGGGCCAGGCAGTGTTTAAATGAATACAGTTTGTATTTCAGGGTATAAGCTAGCCAGGCGGCCAGGAGCCAGGCTGTGGGAAGAGGCCCGCAGCTCCTACTACACTCTAGTAGCAGAGCAAGTAGTGAGGCTAGTAGCAGAAACCGCATTTTACAGCCTCAGCTGGGAAGGCCTAAGTGCCTAGCAACCAAAAGGAAGCAGCCAGACCAAAGTGTTACCAGTGTCCAACTACAATAAGCCAGGGGTGCTTAACTTTTTAGAAGTGGTCAGAGAAAACCTTTAAAGGCAGGATTAACATAGGAGAAAAGGTGAATCTAGTTTCCCCCAATGCATTCATTTCAGTAAACTTTCCTGTCATAGGAGACAATTCACTGTCTTCCTGAAACCAAGGCTGCTTCTGTTTCACAGAACTTATCAGGCTCCTGCTTGACTGGAGGGTAAGCTACAGCTCACTGTCAATTTTCTACACATCTCATCCATCAACGATTCTATCCACAGGCTGTTTTTCACTGGCAGAACAAATGTTGTTATCTATACCAGTAAAATGCCTTTTTTATTGTTGCCCTGGAGTTCCCAGCTCTCATTTTTATTTACTGCTATAGCAGAAAACTCCTTTATTCATTTGTAGAAGTGGTTTTGGTTCCCAGTTTTAGGCTGCGATTAGTCACATCAAAGCAGACATGACAGTTACTTATAATTTAAACGTTTATATTGTAGCAACTGCCACTTCTCCCAGACTATTCATGGATTTTTGCAAAATTCCACTCCAATGTTCATCTTGACTAAGTTACCTGCCCAAGTTTGTAGACTCTGATTTGTTAAGAAGTTCCCATTTCAGAGGGTGTACAGAGGCTCATAATTCTCTACCCTTCCCAACCTCAGCACTTACTGAATGCAGGTGAAAAACTTATCAGAGTGGAGAACAATAAAAGTAGATCTCACACCTGTCTCAACGCTAGTGTTTGAAAATAAAGCATTATATTTGGAATCTCCAGGAGAGGATTTTATTAAGAGTTTTTCATTTGTAAACTAAGACCTCTCAGTCCCACTGTGGCAACCAATCTATTTCATGACGATTTCATTCCCTGGAATACAGACTATGCTGGATGGAGAACCACTAAGTTAAAAGAATGCATTGTGTTAAGAAACTTAAGCAGTAAATATAGAAAAGATTTTGCTCTCAGTAAGAAAATAAGACCATTCTAATTATGATGTTTATATAAATACAGATAATAAAACATGTCTATAAGAAAGTGAAATTGCAAGTTATCTCATTATACTCATTCTGCAATATACAGTTCTGCTCAGATACATACTAGGCGTTCAACTTTATATGAAATTTTGAAAAATAATCTATGTGTGTTCTTCTGAAAATG